CAGACAGTTTTCACTTGACCTCATTTGATGGATCAGTGAACAAGGTTAAGTTTTGGTGGTCAAGTCCATATCTCAGATACTATAAGCAATAGGTCTAGTATATTCGGTGTATGGAAGGACTGTAAGGTGTACATGTCCATCTGGCAGGTGTCATCTGATCTTGACCTCATTTTCATGGTTCAGTGGTTATAGTTAAGTTTTTGTGTTTTGGTCTCTTTTTCTTATACTGTATGCAATAGGTCTACTATATTTGGTGTATGGAATGATTGTAAGGTGTTCATGTCTAGCTGGCAGGTGTCATCTGACCTTGACCTCATTTTCATGGTTCAGTGGTCAAAGTTAAGTTTTTGAGTTTTGTCTTTTTTTCTAATACTATATGCAATAGTTCAACTTTGGTGTATGGAAATATTTTATGATCTATATGTCAGTCACGCAGGATTTTTTTTACCTTGACCTCATTTTTTCAAGGTTCATTGCTCAGTTTTAAGTTTTTGTGTTTTGGTCTGTTTTTCTTAAACTATAAGCAATAGGTCAACTATATTTGTTGTATGGAAGAATTGTTAGCTGTACATGCCTGTCTAGCATGGTTCATCTGACCTTGACCTTGACCTCATTTTCTTGGTTCATTGGTCGATGTTTAGTTTACTTGGTTAATGTTAAGTTTATGTGACAGTTGTAATAAAGTTTTATATTTAGGACTATCAACATAATATCAATGATTAGTAAAGAAGGCGAGACATTTCAGCGTGTGCACTCTTGTTTCATTCATAAATTACTTTATACTTGGAAATATAATTTGCTTGGAGTTATAGTTTCTAAAAAAAGTATTGTCATTGAAAGAGTTGACATGTTGCAATGTACATTTATTCTACATAGTTCTATGGTACCAAATCAAAAGTTTATATTAAAGAAAGAAGTCAAAGGTTTCCCATCATAGTTTAGTTACATACATTTTTTTTGTACCTGAGGTCGTTGAATATAGATCATTATATAAATAAGGAGATGTGTTATGATTGCCAATGAAACAACTATCATCCATACATTGTACTTACCAGTAACAAACCACATTTGCAAAGTTGAATAAAATACAGTTGATAACATTTACTTATTACTTAAAAGAAAATGCCAAACTATTTTAAACAATATTTGACTTTAAACATAGATAAAAAAGGTACAAACTGGACATAATGCACTAGTTCATAAACAAGTGAGAACAATCGCCTTCATATAGTGCTCAGAATATGACATTCATAAAACTTGTTCAATATCATTAGAGAACTCTAAATCTTAAATACTGAAAGCCACCTCTGATAAGTACAATGTACTATGCAAGATAATGATATAACTGGACTAAAAATACACACAACCTGTAATTAACTGCCTTTACAGCGCTTTCGCGCTTTGATTGTTGTTTAAAAACAACTTGGGCCATATTCCTATAATTAGTATCATCGCTGTCAATGGATCTAATATAAATGTGTTTTGATATTCTGTTATCCAAAGAAGTTGTCCCTATTTTCATTTTATTATTCAGGGACAGAGTATGTGGTGATGTTAAGGACATGGTGCTTGAACCTTTGTAAAAGTAGTAAAAAATAAAGAAGGCATCCGACCACCTCCCGCATAAAAAAAACATGTTCTAAAACAATAAAGATGCAATGTCATAATACAAGGTTATACATGAACAATTTTTAAATGATGGAGAAAGTAAACATATATTAGCAGTGTAATATGATAGATTTAGAAAGTTTATTGACCAAAACCAAATACCTGTGTCAAATTTATCTAGTCAACCTTTGTATCTTTTATGCTATAGCTAGTTTCTAAAAAATTGTAATAAGTTTTAAAAATGAGTATGATGGTAAACTTTTAAATTGATTTGAAAATTATGAGGAACAAGAGATATTAATATCAGCATAGAAAAGCTAAAATGTTTAATCTTTCAGAAGATAGTAGCACAACTGCTTACCAGGGTACTCTTTTTACATTAGGCTGTAGGATTTCAAGGTTTCAATTGTCTGTATTTAATGATGAAACATCTAGTTTCCATTAACCAAATGAGTATGAAGTTAAGCAACAGTCAGACATCAATCATTGGGATAATTAGATGATTAAATTAGTCTTACCAGGCTATTCATCAAACCATCAGATGTGCTACTAATTTTCTAATGTATATACATAATTGCAGTTTTAATTTGTAGTTCCATATAAGAAATTTTTCCAACTTTAAACATACATGTAGTCTTAGTGGTCACATGCCTTAACCCTATGAGAAATTACAATAACACAAACAATCAGTCCACTGCTTATTTCCATTCTGGTATATCTAATGCACTCAGGGTAATGTCCTCACTGCCTTTAAGTATAATGAGTACAGTAGGGTACTGTTTTAATTATTGTGGAAAAGTAGGATTTACAAAAATAAAAAAATCACATTTTTATGGCCCTGCCATAGTGGAGGGGGCATTAAGTTTTACCCTTGTCCGTCTGTACGTATGTACGTACTTAAGTACGTCCCAAAATTGGTTTCTGTTTTCTAACTTTAGTTTGCCTCAACCAAATGTTATGAATTTTATACACAATGCTTATTACCACATAACACAGATCCATTTTCAATTTTAGTGGCGTCACTTTTACCATTCTAGAGTTATGCCCCTTTACAAATGGAAAAATTGCTGAGTTTTTCATTTCCGTTCTATTACTTTAGTTTGCCTCAACCAAATGTTATGAAACTTATGCACATTGCTTATTACCACAAAACACAGATCAAGTTAGAATTTTGGTGGCATCACTTTTACAGTTATAGAGTTATGCCCCTTTAAAAATGGAAAAATTGCTGAATTTTTCTTTCCGTTCTCTAACTTTAGTTTGCCTCAACCAAATGTTGTGAAACTTATACACAATGCTTGTTACCACAAGACACAGATCAAGTGTGAATTTTGGTGGCATCATATTTACCTTTCTAGAGTTATGCCCCTTTACAAATGGAAAAATTGCTGAATTTTTCGTTTCCGTTCTCTAACTTTAGTTTGCCTTAACCAAATGTTGTGAAACTTATACACAATGTTTGTTACCACAAGACACAGATCAAGTTTCAATTTTGGTGGTATCACTTTTACTGTTCTAGAGTTATGCCCCTTTACAAAATGGAAAAATTGCTGAATTTTTTGTTTCCGTTCTCTCCCTTTAGTTTGCCTCAACCAAATGTTATGAAACTTATACACACAATGCTTATTACCATAAAACACAGATCAAGTTTCAATTTTGGTGTTGTCACTTTCACCATTCTAGAGTTATGCCCCTTTACAAATGGAAAAATTCCTGATATATTTGTTTCTGTTCTCTAACTTTAGTTTGCCTCAACCAAATGTTATGAAACTTATGCACAATGCTTATTACCACACAAACTCAGATCAAGTGCAAATTTGGGTAGCGTCACTTTTACAGTTCTTGAGTTATATCCCTTTATAACATTATATGCAAGCGGGGACATCGTCTGTGTCCCATGGACACATTCCCCATTTATTTATTATGTTATAGTATTCATATGTAGCATTTTTTGATATCACAATAATTTTTTCGCATTTTTATCTTTTATCCCACAATAGCAATAATAAGTGAACAAAATTTCTGAATTTGCAGTACTTGTACTAGTGAGATGCAGGTAAAGAAATAGGTATTTTGTCTGATACTATGATTCTCAATGCAAAAAGATAAAGCTGTATTAAAGATTGAAATGCTTGGTGTTTTGATTTACTTCACATCCTTAAATCATTTGGGTGTTGTCCAGGAGAATAACTGATGTACAGAAAACATAAAAAAATAAACTTCATTGATTAATTATCCAGATTACCATTAGTTCAATTATTGGATGATTAGCTAGGTACAATTCTGTAAATAAAGACACAGGAAATGTGTTTTTGCTATATATGAAGGACATTAAACTTGATCTTCTTTCTTTTTTTGGATATGTCAGACATTTACTTATAGTTCACAGGTACTTTGGTTCAAAGGTTGGGGTATGTTTAGCATGACAACCCATGTATTCTTGTTTTTTGTGATTTTTAAATCCTTCACACTTTAAAGGGGCAAAAATTGGAGTCCAATAGGTCCAAATTTAATAGATAGGTATATTTAAATCTGATAAACCAAATTGCAATTGAAACCAAACTTTTTCCTATGAATTTCTTTTCCAGTCTTATATTTGAATAGAAAGCAATTAAACTTTTTAAACAAATTTGAAGTACTATTATTTTGTTACCACACTAACAGTTCCTCACAATTCATCTGAAGTTTATTCTCTCACAATCTATGAATGATGATAGTTTTGTCAGTAAAGTAATTAAGGCTTTCATTAGGAAGATGCCAAGTCTTTTTCATATAGTGAATTTAGATTTGAAATATACTTGATTTTAAAGAGATTTAAATGAATCTTAGCAAAGATACATGTATTGTTGCTGGAACAGTGTTGTTGGTTTTTGCAATTAAACATTGACCAAAATGCATTTGTAATATTTATGTAATCTATTTTTTGTGACCTTAATGATATGTTTCTTAGTAGTTGAGGTTCATTTATGATATGATACATTTCTCAATGACAAAAAGATTACATGTCAAACTTGTTATAAAATGATATTATCATTTTGTTATACTGTGGTTGCAATTGTATATAATTAATCCATGTTGTATCAGAGGAGCAAAGAAATATTGGTATTTGAGGCTGGAAAAGGTGTGAATGGCTTTATGTAAACCAAAGTATGAAAATTACTTTCTTTAAACAATTTGATGGAAGGACCTGTCCATATCTTAAATCTGCAATTATTAGACACAATTGATTTATATGAGCCAGGATGACAAAGGTATGATTGTCAGATTAACATACATATGTACATCAGGAAACAGACTATAAGTGATGTGTATTGGGTTATTTTACCTATGAAATTTGACATGTATTAGGATATGTATTTATTGTTTACCTTTCATATGTTATGTTCTTACAGGTGATCGAGGAACATTCCTCTGATGAAACTTCTTCACCCAGAAATGGAACTCACAATTCAGCAACAACTAATCCATTTAACAGATTCGCAAGGGACTCATGGCGGCAGTCCCTTGGGAACAGGCCAGATATGTACAAATGGTTGGTGGCCCAGGAAAAACAACAGGACAGAGTACAGGTAATTTGTTAAAATAATACATAATGAAGTAAATAAACAAATATTTATTTGTGAGGAGAATAAATGTTAATTAGCATAATTGAAACATATCTGGAAATGAATTGGAGGTATATATGTGTTCATAAGTGTTTAACAGCAAACCAATACTGTTGTAGTAAAAGGGGAATTATTATTTGATTGCAATTTTAAGGAAAGGATGAAAATTGCAATTTTATGAACACATGTACATTTATTTATAAGGTAAGGCTTCAAGTTTATTTTGATCACCCACAATGCATAACTAACAATTGTTTTGTTATGATTACTGTTATACCTAAAGTGTGGCTATATTGTATCCACTTTGTCTGTCTGTTCATACAACAAATGTTGTTACCACAGGTAGTTCTGAACAGAATCACATCATATTTAGTCAACACCTTGACAGTGATGAGTTGGGTGCAAACACTTTTCAGATCTGTAAAACACCTGATGTACCTATTATTAGTAGTATAGGAAGTACTGAACAGAATCACTTCATTTATCTCTTTATTACATTACAAATGATATATTTACTATTATTAGTCCAGTGTGTCTATACTCTCCAGTCCACACAAATTATTATCAAATTCACTGTGGTTTTTTTTATGCCCCCCTTGTTGGTTTCCATTTTCGAACTTTAGTTTGCCTCAACCAAATGTTATGAAACTTATACACAATGCTTATTACCACAAAACACGGATCAAGTTTGAATTTTGGTGGCATCACTTTTATCGTTCTACAGTTACGCCCCTTTACAAATGGAAAAAAATTGCTGAATTTTTCGTTTCCGTTCTCTAACTTTAATTTGCCTCAACCAAATGTTATGAAACTAAGACATAATACTTATTACCACAAAATACAGATCAAGTTTGAATTTTGGTGGTGTCACTTTAACAGTTCTAGAGGTATGCCTGTTTACAAATGGAAAAATTGCTGAATTTTTCATTTCTGTTCTCTAACTTAAGTTAGCCTCAACCAAATGTTATGAAACTTATACACAATGCTTATTACCACAAAACACAGATCAAGTTTGAATTTTGGTGGTGTCACTTTTACTGTTCTAGAGTAATGCCCCTTTACAAATGGAAAAATTGCTGAATTTTTTGTTTCCGTTCTCTAACTTAAGTTTGACTCAACCAAATGTTATGAAACTTATACACAATGCTTATTACCACAGAACTCAGATCAAGTACAAATTTGGTAGTGTCATTTTTACCGTTCTTCATTTATGTCCCTTTATAACTTTATATGATATGCAAGCGGGGGCATCATCTGTGTCCTATGGACACATTCCCCATTTATTTATTTTTTTTATATAAGAGAGGTGTTAACTAGAGAGTAAGTCAAACTACTTCCTATGTGCAGATATTTTGAATTTTTCTATATGTTGAATTCACTTTTTTTTCAAATTTGTCACATATTTCTTCAGTGCTACTGAACAGGATTACTTCATATTTGGTCAGCAGATTTGCAGTGTAAAGTTTACAATGTGTGAGCACTTTTTCTGTCAAGCTTCTTTCACATTACAATACTTTAATTTATGAGTGACATATGCTTAGCACAACAACACATGCATTCATGTTACATATTCATTATATTAAAAATACCAGTAAGTGGGGTTTTCTGCTAAAAGTTTAGGGAAAGAACAGGGGAGATTATGTACAAATAAAGTTATATAAGTAATCCCCCTTTAGCATGTGTACAGTGGTAAATGTTTGGATTTAACCAATTTAGTCAGTCTCACTACATATATCTTGGCAAAAACTCAGATCCTGGTGACAAATATAAAAATAAATGTGATAGATATACACATTTGGTGTAAACAGTTAAATATGTTGAAAATAGAACTTTTGTGGGGCTTTTTACCAATTACAAACTGTGTATCAGGTATACTGTATCAGAAATACAAATGAGAAGCCAGACTGAAAAACTTTTTTGAAGCTATTAACCTTTAAAAAAGAAAAAAATGGTTACCCAGAAAATAATTGATAACTTGTTCATTTGTTGACACAGTTGATATATAGGTAATAATAGGTACATCGGGTTTGATAGACATTTATCTCTTGATTACATTTCAAATGATTTATTTACTATTAATCCAGTGTGTCCATGCTCTCCAGTCCACACTAATTATTATTATATTCACTATGCTTTTATATAAGTGAGGTGTCAACTTTTATATAAATATCAAATGTTTTTATATATGAGTACCTTTTTTTTAATGCATATTTAAAAATGACCTAACGAATAGCCAATGAAAATGTTGTAATATTGTCTAATAATGCTGGATAAGCCAATCAGATTAACACAGTTTTTGTATCACTTTTTCTTATCACACTCCGCAGTGTGATATGAGAAATATCTCTTCATGCAAAAAACAGATAACAAACCACAACCATAAGAGAATTAAATTTATAATACTATTTCAAGATAATACTAAAACAAGGATGAAGGTCAAGGAAAGCATGTTAAATTAAACAAAGACAAAGAATGGAATATAAAAGTAACAAGGGCAAAGGGTAGGATAAAAATAGAACAAGGGCAAAGGGTAGAATAAGAATAGAACATGAAGGGCAAAGGGTAGGATATAAATACATTGATGTCATTGTGGTTAGACTTCCTTAGATGCAACAACAGCATGTAAAATTTTGAATTTTTGCATCTAAGGAAGTCTAATCAAATTGAATGATTTTGTTTCTGAAAGACTATAATTTTAACTTGACATCATGAAGAATTTGAATTTGGTAAAGAATCTCCTTTTCATAAATTTTGTTTCCTGGATAAATTTGCTAAAATCTGTTAAAATTGCAGTTTTGAGCCCTTTTTGGGCATTTATGATTTTGTTAAATGTTAAGAAAAAAAATCAATAATACTGATAAAATCTCAAAGTTTTTAGGAAAATTTGAAATACTATGAAAATGGCATTGGTGTGAAATAAAGTTAGGGGAAACATGCTCTACCTCCTAGCTTTTCAGAAAATAAAATATTTATAAAAGTTCTTACTTGACAAATTGTTTTATTTTTTCTCACTCTAGTTGATTTCTATTAGATTTTAGTCATAATACAATGATTATATATTGTTTGGTTCAGATGGAAAGAAAAGAGCCATTGGGTGGGGTCAGTACTGATGTGAAGAAAGATATCCCAGATGTAATCAGCAGAGCTCACCAACCACATATTCAAGGGTAAGATTATTATATCTGATTATTTGTATATGTTTAATCAATTTTAGATTCAACCATTTTATGTGATCTGAAAATTACTCAAATTTATCAAAAATTCTATAGAGACGTAATTGGCTTAAGTTGCATAGACCATATATCAAATATGATATAGAGATATATTCTTACAAGGGATCCATGATGAACACTATGACTAATATGATAGAAGAGGGAAAATTCTTAATTTGTTATACTGAATTACACAATAAGTCTAGAGGGTTGCAGTAGTTCTATCCCAAGTCCTAAAATCAATGAAATGTAAACGATGATGTCATATATTCAGATGATCTTTTTATGCCCGCGCTGTAGCGGAAGGGGCATTAAGTTTTACCCTTGTCCGTCTGTACGTCCCAAAGTTGGTTTCCGTTCTCTAACTTTAGTTTGCCTCTACTAAATGTTATGAAACTTATACACAATGCTCATTATCACAATACACAGATAGAGTTTGAATTTTGGTGGCGTCACTTTAACAGTTCTAGAGTTATGCCCCTTTACAAATGGGAAAACTGCTGATTTTTTTCATTTCCATTCTCTAACCTAAGTTGCTGTTCTTCAGTTATGTCCCTTTATAACTTGATATGCAAGAGGGGGCATCATCTGTATCCCATGGACACATTCTCCATTTATTTTCTCTCCTGCATCAAAAGTAGTCATGGGCATTGTTGTAGGTTTTTGTGATGGAAACAATTACAATAATGAGACCTTTTAATGCCAGTTATAGTCATCTGACCTTTACCTCATTTTCCGACTCCAATGGTATGGTTATGTTTTTAAGATGAAGATAAATCTTCAGCAAATATACATGACATGCTCATGAATTGATTGGTTGTAAGGATAATATCACTATTTGTCTGACAGGCATACTATGTCATATACCATTACCCTCAATTTCATGCTTCAGTGTTCAAGTTAATCTTTCAGGATTAAGTCTGTTCCTCGGTAACTGTTCATGATTGGTCAACAATATTCAGTAAGTGGATCGGTTGCAAGGACTATATTTCTGACATATTTCTTATGACCCTTTACAGACTATAGATGGGGAACATTTTAGTGAAACTTATAAACAGAAAATATTTGTTTTACTTTATGCTCTTTTGTATTTATTATCAAAAACATAATATCTGGCTAGACAAAATAATAAGGTCTAAATCAAATCTATTAAGATATAATTAATTCAGTTCTCTATATCAAATGTGTTGTTCTTTTTTTTCTTCAGAAGTATATTAATAAATTTACCAACAGAAGGAGGGCCACTTGGTATACATGTTGTTCCTGATTACAATGAAGAAGGGAAGTAAGTATCTGATCATCTTCAATAAAAAGGGGGAGAACCATCAGTCAATGACTCTTTACAATAATAGTAAATATATAGATGAGCATATGAAATAAACATTTAAAAGTAGCTCTTCTAAACAATCAATGTAAAACAAAATTGAAGCTAGCAATTATTTTTATGCCCCCGCCGTGGCGGAGGGGGCATTAAGTTTTACCCTTGTCCATCTGTACGTACGTCCCAAAGTTGGTTTCCTTTCTCTAACTTTAGTTTGCCTTTACCAAATGTTATGAAACTTATACACAATGCTTATTACCACAAAACACAGATCAAGTTTGAATTTTGGTGGCGTCACTTTAACCATTTTAGAGTTGTGCCCCTTTACAAATGGAAAAATTGCTGAATTTTTCGTTTCCGTTCTCTAACTTTAGTTTGCCTTACCCAAATGTTATGAAACTTATACACAATGCTTATTACCACAAAATACAGATCAACTTTGAATTTTGATGGTGTCACTTTAACCGTTCTAGAGTTATGCCCCTTTACAAATGGAAAAATTGCTGAATTTTTCATTTCCATTCTCTATGTTTAGTTTGCCTCAACCAAATGTTATGAAACTTATACATAATGCTTATTACCACAATTCACAGATCAAGCATGAATTTTGATGGCGTCACTTTAACCGTTCTAGAGTTATGCCCCTTTACAAATGGAAAAATTGCTGAATTTTTCGTTTCCGTTCTCTAACTTAAGTTTGCCTCAACCAAATTTTATGAAACTTATACACAATACTTGTTACCACAAAACTCAAATCAAGTATAAATTTGGGTAGAATCACTTAAACCGTTCTTCAGTAATGTCCCTTTATAACTTTATATGATATGCAAGCGGGGGCATCATCTGTGTCCCATGGACACATTCCCCATTTATTTGTTTCCTATAAATAAATATTATTTAAAGAATTTAAACTTGCACACAATTGAAAGATACAAATGAAACAGGAAAATCTAAATCCTTCTGTATAATTTATAAAAAATTTAAATTGTTGAATTTTGCTTTAACAATGCATATGTTGAATTATATTGACTAAGACTGCTTTTTAACTATTGTATGTAATTTACAGAGAAAATGGATTACTGGTACATGGAGTTGAACCTGGAGGGAGGGTAGATAAAGATGGTAGACTTCGAGAAAATGATAGAATTGTAGAAATCAATGGAATAAGTTTAGTTAATGTCAGCTTTATAAGGTATTGTCAGAGTCACATCTTGTCAAGAAGAAAAGAAAAAATTGCATTATTATTTATTGATTTTCAAGGCACATTGTCAAAAGACCTATTGCCATAAAATTTTCTCTGTTGTGTGTCATATTTTTCCAAAGATATTTATCTAAAGCACTGATAAAGAAACTGTTGAAAATTTATTTTGTAAACTATGATACCCATGTGAATAGACAGCGTATTATGATATTCGGCTGTCTTTCAGCTGGTCCAACTGGTGTCAACATGACACACGAGTCAAGTATACTTATTTACTTTCAACTTAAGCAAATTATTGAAAATGATAGTTTATGGATCTGTATACTTTTTGAAGATTTTCGTTTGTCGTTCCAGAGTATTGGATTTTAATCTTTGAAATATAAGCACATGTTGTATCTAGTTCAAGTAATTAAGATTTGTACCTGTCAATGGCAGTATCTATATTTTTTTTAAATGCATATATACTCCTCATTTATCTTGTAATGTCATAAAAATATAAATTTAAAAGCAATAATTTACTTAATAACATACTTTACATTGATTTTGCCAAACTGATTACCTTAGATATGTTAAGTATGGGAGATTGTAAAAAAGTAGAAAAATACATTTGATTGTTGGTTTCTGTATATGTCATTGTAAAAGAAAAAGGTAATAATTATTGAAAGAAAAACAAAAAGTCAGCAGTTTTAAGAATTTTCAAATTTATTTTGTTACAGGGCCAGAGAAACATTTAGTGAATCTATGAAATCTGATGAAATCAAAATACGAATTGTTAAAAAGAAACCAGCACCAGGATTACCGAAACAACCACCACCAACACTACCAAAACCAAGGGGATATTCTCCAACAAAACCATCTCCTTTGACATTACCACCACCAAAATTGAACAGTCCTAATTCTTTATCTCCAACTGGTCCTGAAAAGACTAGTACACCTACAGATTCTGGTCCCAGTAGTAGCAATAGTCCATTACCAGACTCAACAGATGGGAGACCAGTAGCCAGAGATCCACAACCAATTAAACCAGGACCACCTATTAGACCTGGTTTACCAATCAAACCACAGTCCCCAACAAAGAAAGTTCCACCAGCAGTGCCAGTTAGAGATCCCAAGACTTCATTGTCATCACAAGAAAATGCAATTATAGCTCCAACTAATACCAAGAAAATTGGCACAAAAATTTCTCTCCAGTTGAAAAAAGGTATTTACTAAATTTAGTTGAAATTTTATAAATTATTAATATAATCTAGCTTTATTTTTTTAATTTCTATTTCATTGAAACTAAAATGTATTTGTACAATCACATTTATGACATAACTTCAAATTGTGAATTTTTTACTCTTATTGTATTGAAACATGGAGATGAATGGAAGATTGCATAACTGTATTATACATTTAAGTTAAAGCTCATATTAAAAAAAAAAATAGGGAACTCTAGGATAAATGAAAATAGAAAGAAAATTTTAAAAACACAATTTTACTAATTTTATAAAATGCATTAATAGATATAAAATGAGTTGGTTTGTTTGTGTAGGTCCATCTGGTCTGGGATTTAGTGTTACTACTAGAGACAATCCTGCAGGAGGTTTTACTCCTATCTACATTAAAAATATTCTGCAAAAAGGTGCAGCCATTGAGGAAGGCACATTGAAAGCTGGTGATAGGCTCCTCATGGTAATATAATTAGTGTATCTACAAGAACTTATAATTATTCAAATAATTTCTTCAAATCTTGAAGTATACATAGCAAAACTTTACAAAGTCAACAATGCATTTTTACTGGATATAATCATTTTATAAATATTTTGTTATGGTTACTGTTGTAAATGTGCATATCCATATAAACTATTGTATAACCTGTCAGTAAATGACAGAATATTGAATTAATTACCTTTAGCCTTATAGTTTGTACCTAGAATTCTAATCAGTTCACATACAATTATCTTCATCATCATATGTACATTGATAAAATCCACCATTTACAGCTAGTGCACATATACACATTGCTACTGGTTACTTAAAAAAAAAGAAATGACATTACTAATTCTTAAAAGTGATCACATTTTATACAATATACCACTCAACTTGTTTTACAATATCAAGGCAACATTGAAAACATACATAGGAATATATTAGTTGTAACAGTATTATGATTTTGTTTAGGTGAATGGTGTAGACATGGATGGGAAGTCCCAGTCTGAAGTTGTAGCATTGCTACGTAACGTCAAACTTGGAGAGACTGTCAGTTTAGAGATATCTCGTCAGGTTACTGAGGATGATCGATTTAAAGTTCCTAGACAATTGGTAACATACATGAATATTAAACACAATATTATTTAGACAAAATAATATTCCTGCTTCACATTTCATAGAGTTCAAGTTGTCTAAAGTCGTTTTGGAAGTTTCAAGACAATTAAAATTTTATATAGTAAATGATACAATATACATAATAAGTATTGTATATTTCAACAACTTTAGTCTTAATGTATAAAGGTTCTGTGAAATTGAAAACCACAGACAGATTCAGATTTTATTACTTAAAGTAATTTGCTAAAAATTGATTGACACTTTAAATGGAAGTTCTTTCTTTGAATAAAGTATCTTCTAGCTCAAATATATGTAATTACTTTGATATTATTTGACAATCTGTTGAAAATATAAGAAAAGAATGCTTCATTTATTTTCTTGACCATATGCCTTTCAGAATATAGCTTTTTTCAAGTCAATTATTTCATCCAAAAGTTCTTTTGCTTTTAGCTTTTATTGCAACCTATTTATTTGAAGATTTTAATGTTTTGTCTTATATCAAATGCTTATCTTATTGGTTCGAAGTTTTTCAGATGACAAAATTGTTTGGAGTCCAGAAAGCACTATTGTTTAGTTTTGTAGTCCTGGATGCTAATTTAACTTTAGTTTTAACCATTATATATTCTTTTCTAGTGTCATGCTCTGTGTGCTGTAGTCCTTGTATTTTAGCTAACCTTTTGTTTGACTGAGCTAAGCTCTGAAGAATGAGCAAATCTATCAGGTTAAAAACTACTTATATTTGAAAACCTTTGAAGAAGGATTCTTTCAGATTTTTTTTCAAATTGTGTCAATTTTTTTTATACAAATCTAATTGTATAAGGGCATCATCTTTCGCAATCCTCTGTGGACTTTTTAGGATTTTCAGGAAAACTAGATTATTTCAATTTACATTTTTTGGTTTATTAAAAGGTGTCAAAAAATGTTTTTTGCATTTGAAGATTGTGAAATCAGATTTGAAAAGGGTAAATTTAATTCCTAATTTTATATTTAGTAATATTTGAATCATACATATCCTTTTTTCACCTCCAAGCAAATTATTTTTAAAAATAGGAAAGCAGCATGTCAAGTTTGAACCTTTTGAAATTTAAGGAAAATTTTGAAAGGATGAACTTTAAAGCAGCTGTATTTCTGAAGTAAATATCTTTTTTTGTTTATTCTTTCCATCTAAGCTCAGTTAAAACATTAATAATTATTGGAACTGGTTGATATATTCCTTTTTATGTAAGTTTTTTCTTCTGTTTTGATGGTATGTTTTTTCTCTTTCTGTTAAATTTTTGTGGGTCGCTTATCTTATCCCATGGCAGTGACCTTGACAAATTGATTGAAATTTAATATTTTAGAGGATAGAACTGCTGAACAATCCATATTTTGTATATCAACCTTTCATTGTTTGAAATTTTTGTTTGATATTATGTCAGTTGACCTCCAATCAATGATGCACTGAAATCAACCTGAAGTTTATGTATAGATCAGGTTCTCATTTTCTTTGGGTAATAGGAAAAATATTTTGATCTGAAGGAAGGGGTATACTGGTTTTCATTTGTCAGTCTCTCTGTCTGAATTCATGGTTCATCTGTACCCATGATCTCCACAAAAGTTAGTACCCAACGAATACTTATGAATCCACAGTAGCTTCAGATATTGGAAATACATTGTTATGTCTTTGATGGAAATACATTGTTGTGTCTTTGATGGAAATACATTGTTGTGTCTTTGATGGAAATACATTGTTATGTCTTTGATGGAAATACATTGTTGTGTCTTTGATGGAAATACATTGTTGTGTCTTTGATGGAAATACATTGTTATGTCTTTGATGGAAATACATTGTTGTGTCTCTGATGGAAATACATTGTTGTGTCTTTGATGGAAATACATTGTTGTGTCTTTGATGAAAATACATTGTTGTGTCTTTGATAGAAATGAATCAGTTATCTTATAATAGGCAGACTTTTTAAGAGAAAAAAAAATGATGACATTGATAAGGTCCTTTCCATCATATAAATATTGACTTAGCAACAATTACATTTATATACCGGTAGATATATATAAATGTTAAACATGTACTATAGAGGTTTTAAAAAAATATTTCTAAATATTTATGTCCTATAGCAGGTGAAAAATGGTTAAATCAATCTTGTTAAATAGAGATACCCAAAGAAGTTATTGTATTTGTATTTCTGACTGACTTTTGTGCTTTATGTAAAGTTTATATGCATGGAATGAAAAAACTAATAAAAATGTACAGACCTTGGTGCTAACAATAACTAGTATTATCTACATCTATATGATTAACTTACAGTTGATAGAGTCTGTAAAAAAACCTGAAATAGCAGCATGTTTGTTTAATGTTATATGGATGCATACATTGTCTTACAACTCAGCAATCATACATTTGGCAAATAACAGTTTACCATGAAATCCTTATTGTGATATGATAGCTTTAAATCAAAAGATGGGAGAGTATGAGAATATGAGTTTATGATGTTTTTAGTTAACTATCATAACAATTAGAGAAGTATATAAAATAACTATGGGAATATAGTTCTTTGACTTGTTAAATTTATTGCTCCTTGGACATTGGTGTCTTCTTCCTTTTTTTGATTTTTGATTGAGAAAAATCTTTTATGAAGCAATAGATTTCCATAAATAACTGCTGTTCTACATGTGAAAAGAAATTAACAATAAATATTTGTTGTGTGTGGTTTGTGGCATGCCTGTAGATATAACACAGCTAACTGTTGTAACATGTAATTTTTAGTTTATTTTTATTTGGTGCACATTTCCTGGACTCCTCTGATTTTGTTACAGAACATAGAAAAACAAAATGTCTTGCAGCCTACAGAAAAATCTGGAGATGATGGGTCACTGGCATTATTGAAAAATAAGGAAATATTATCACTAGACATTCCATTGAATGACACAGGATCAGCAGGTCTGGGTGTTAGTGTGAAGGGAAAAACAATAACTATCCCAGAACAGGGGACCAGAGATTTAGGAATATTTATAAAGGCAGTAATAAGTGGAGGAGCAGCATCAAGGGTAAGAATTAACCAGGATGTTGTTCAAAGAAATGAGATCTGTGTAACATGGGGCAGTAGATAAATATAGATCATGTCTTTTATCGTCCTTCGCTTGGCCTATATTAGCCTGCTCAGTTGTTTTGTCATTATTGTATCTCGGCTTTGAGACGTGAGCAGACATTATCAGTGACATCACAATGTCTGAGGAGAAGTTATCTGTGACATTAGAATGTGTTAGTAGATGTTATCAAGCTAACTTTTGTCAAGTGTAACACTGTCTGAGGGAGGGTTAAAAGACCAATATAAGAACGACAAACAGATTACCATGTTTTTGTACATATAGATATTGTAAAATATCAATGTGTAGAAAACCTGATAATCTATACCAATATGCTTCTGAGATGTGATAAAATTTTGCCAGTTTACAAGTCAGTTTTTCTTTTGTGATGTTAATTGATTGTAATGAAATTATAGATATTATTAGGAGAGTAATTGACAGCATGACTTGTTTCAATGTCATGTAACTGCTTCATGCATGGAATATGTTTTACAAGGATTATGTCATCAACCAGGCAAATAAAGTTCATGGAGTATAGGAATCACTTTGTCTATTTGTCTGTCTGTCCATCAAAGCAATGTGTATCAAACCAATAACCTTTGAATGCCTTGAAGGATATTAATCTTACTCAATATTATTGTTTCCCACCAGATTGTGTCAAGAGTAAGGATGAAATATCTGACCGCAAGGTCTTGGTTACGTACAGTATATCATTTAATGCTTGTGCTGCAGCTTTTGATCTCTTAAGCTTAGAACTTACACACTAGATACAATGATTTTACATTACACATTCTTATTTACAGATGAATATGGGAATGAGATTTGAGTGGGAGTATATTTATGAGTTTTACTTGAGTATCTCAAGTTTGACATTTGTGTAGAGCTTCAGTAGTATGATTATGTTAAGAATACCATTATAAAATGATTATATTTATTTTAGGATGGTAGATTAGCAATAAATGACCAATTATTAGAAGTGAATGGTGAAAGTCTCAGAAATCTTTCGAATTCTGAATCTATGGAAACATTAAGAAAAGCTATGCAAAAAGAAGGTGTAATCCAAGGACACATACATTTAACTATAGCCCGTAAAATAGGTGCACCTTCTCCATCTCCATTCCAGGAGAGTTCTACAGACTATTTCCTTTACAGTTTAAACAAATCCAGTGATTATTCGGAATCAAATGACTCAAAAGAGATAGTTTCGGTACCACCTGATGTGACTCAAAATATTCATCCTGTAGAACTAAAGGATTATGGGGTAGATAAATCTCGGAACTTTTTAATTGAGAGATTAATGGGAGCAAGTAATGGACTTCGGAATGAGTCGTATACACGTGCTACTCATGATAGTTTTAATGACAGTGGTAATGTTTCGTCTCCGGAAGTGTCACCTATAAAACCTTTGAAAAGTGCTCCAACTGTTCATGAACTGTTAGAAAGAAATACAAGAAATTCTATTTTGATTGAGGATGATTCTCATGAACCCCAGGTTTGTTTTAATTAAGAATATGACACTTTTTTAACAGAATGTTAGATTGATTAATATTCTTTGTATAGCTCATCTCACTCATTTCTGATATATCATGTATATATAGACAAATTTATACTTTTGGGTATTAAGCTGAACTTTGTTGTTGAATGATGAGAGATAGATCTCTGAATAACATTCTAACATCATGCAACAATCACGTTTTAATTATCATGTCAAATTTTTTAAATTGTTATCCAATATTTTTGCGGTCGTATATTGGTATGACGTTGGCGTCGTCGTCGTCGTCCGAAGACACATTGGTTTTTGCACTCTAACTTTAGTTTAAGTGAATGGATCTCTATGAAATTTTACCATAAGGTTCAATACCACAAAAGGAAGGTTGGGATTGATTTTGGAGGTTTTGGTACCAACAGTTAAGGAATTAGGGGCCAAAAAGGGTCCAAAAATAAGCATTTTTGTAACTTCCAGACATAACTTGTGTGTTAGTGTATGGATCTCTCTGACATTGCACCACAAGGTTCCATATCACAAAGGGAATGCTGGGATTGATTTTGGGGGTAATTGCCTCAAAATTTTAGGAATTAGGGGCAAAAAAAGGGGCAAAAAACAAGCATTTTTCTAGTTTCATGACAATAACTTGTTTGTAAGTGTATGGATCTTTCTGAAATTGTACTACAAGGTTCCATATCACAAAGGGAAAGCTGGAATTGAGTTTGGGGGTAATTGCCCAAAACGTTTAGGAAAAAGGTGCCAAAAATAAGCATTTTTCTAGTTTCCAGACAATAACTTGTGTTCAAGTGTATGGATCTCTCTGAAATTGTACTGCAAGGTACCATACCACTAAGGGAAGGCTGTTATTGATTTTGGGGGTAATTATACCCCACGCAAGAAGTTGCGGAGGGTATAATGTTTTTGACCTGTCCGTCCGTCCGTCCGTCTGTCTGTCCGTCCGTCTGTCCGTCTGTCTGTCTGTCAGTCCGTCAGTCTGTCTGTCAGTCCGTCAGTCCTATTTCTTGTCATCGCAATTCCCCCAAAACCACACAACAGAATTTCACGAAACCTTTTTAGAAAATAAGGACATACTATATAGTTGTGCATATCGACAGGAAATTACGATGCAATATTTTTCTAGGAGTTACGCCCCTTTGAACTTATTTACTTTAATGTACTACTGCAACCTTTTGTCATCGCAACTCCTCTCAAACCACACAACAGAATTTCATGAAACCTTTTCAGATAATAAGGACATACAACGTAGATGTGCATATCGACAGGAAATTACTATTCAATTTTTTTTCCAGGAGTTACGCCCCTTTGAACTTATTTGCCAAATATACTACTGCAACTTTTTGTCATCGCCACTCCTCTCAAACCACACAACAGAATTTCATGAAACCTTTTCAGATAATAAGGACATACTACGTAGATGTGCATATCGACAGGAAATTACAATTCAACTTTTTTTCCAGGAGTTACGCCCCTTTGAACTTATTTGCCCAATATACTACTGCAACCTTTTGTCATCGCAACTCCTTTCAAACCACACAACAGAATTTCATGAAACCTTTTCAGATAATAAGGACATACTACGTAGATGTGCATATCGACAGGAAATTACGATTCAATTTTTTTTCCAGGAGTTACGCCCCTTTGAACTTATTTGCCCAATATACTACTGCAACCTTTTGTCATCACAACTCCTCTCAAACCACACAACAGAATTTCATGAAACTGTGTAGATAATAAGGACATACTATGTAGATGTGCATATTGACAGGAAATTATGATTCAATTTTTTTTCTGATACAATTTTTTTTTCTTACACTTATTTTATTTCTCCAATGACAATTTGGGGACGTGGGGTATGTGAGCCCACTCACTAAGGTTCTTTAATTGCCTCAAAATTTTAGGAATTAGGGGCCAAAAAGGGGCAAAAAACAAGCATTTTTCTAGTTTCAGGACAATAACTTGTGTGTAAGTGTATGGATCTTTATGAAATTGTACTACAAGGTTCCATATCACAAAGGGAAAGCTGGGTTTGAGTTTGGGGGTAATTGCCCTAAATGTTTAGGAATTTGGGGCCAAAAAACAAGCATTTTTCTAGTTTCCTGACAATAACTTGTGTTCAAGTGTATGGATCTCTCTGAAATTGTACTGCAAGGTACCATACCACAAAGGGAAGGCTGTTATTGAGTTTTGGGGGTGATGAATCATATGGGGGTTCAAAAAATTTGGGGGGGGGGATTTTTTTTTCTTTTTTTCCTTTTTTTTTCTTTAAAATTTATCATTTTAAATTGGTTATTTCTGATTTATATATAAAAGCAAATAATAATGATATGGTTTGAATAGGTAAATTAAAATTTTCTTAGACCACATTCATTCTGTGTCAGAAACCTATTCTGTGTCAAATATTCAATCACAATCCAAATTCAGAGCTGTATCAAGCTCGAATGTTGTGTCCATACTTGCCCCAACTGTTCAGGGTTTGACCTTTGCGGTCGTATCAAGCTGCGCCCCAGTGGAGCATTTCATTTGTAATAGATGACATATTAGCATACATGTATAATACATGATTCCATTTGTTAAATTTGGGTAATATTTTAAAGAATAAATTAATGAAAAAAAGTCAGACTGCAAGAACACATTGATATGGTGTAGAATCTGGTTGGAAAAAAGATAAAAGGCTAAAGTTTACATCTATTTTCTCGGTGGTCTCGTGGTAGCGTGTTTGCCTTGAGTGCGGGAGGTCATGGGTTCAAACCCCAGCTGGGTCAAACCGAAGACTATAAAATTGGTATTTGCTGCTTCTCCGCTAAGCATGCGGCATTGAGGAGTAAGAGCAAATGCTGGTCGGCTCGAAGTCAGAATAATGTGTGCGGGTAAGGTGACATGTCTTCCTGCAGACTGTTACCTTGTGAACTAGCACGTTAAAAATTGGGCTCAGCTTTCAGTCTAGTACAAAGCAGGGTAACATAAACATGTTCTCGTCCTGAATATGCATATTAATTTGCTGCTGGACGTTAAGCGGCCATACATCATCATCATCTCTTGAATTCTTTTTGCTATGACAGGTATCATATTAGTAATATTAAATGACAATTGTAACAGGTCAAAGGTATTGACAGCAAATACAAAAGAGTACTTTCCAAGTCATGTTGATCTTACTCAAAGAATCAAATTTTTCGGCTCATGGTTGGAGACCATTTGTTATCATGACAAGCATCAATAAAACCTATGTCCTATGATATATGATTATTGACTATCTTTGAATATGGTTTAATGCACATTAATCTCATCCATTTTTCCCCATTGAATTTAACAACTACTGATGCATTTTTTTATAGACACGAATGCGACCTCATTCTACACTTGGAATTCTTCGTCATAATTCTACAAACAGTTCCAGTTCAGAAGAGGGGAACCAGCAGCCTCCCTGGCTACAGAGTCAAGACTGGGATAGGCATCATAGCACTACTAGTGAAGAATTGTAATTAAAAAAATGTTTTAAAGGTTTTTAACCAGATTTTCTAAGGGAAAATCGGTTATTGATTTGGGGATGTATGGCGGGCGGGCGGCTGCCAAACAGTGTCCGTTCATTAACATGCAAACGCTGTGACGATTTTTTTTCAAATTTTGATATGTTGTTAACTGTGACTAAATGAAGGTCAAGTTCAATTTTCACGATTTTTACTTCTCTCGTTTTTGAGTTTTTGACTTTTTAGAAGTCCAAGTATATACTTATTATATTATTGAGTTATTTCCCTTTGAACAGAAATTGTGATTTGCAAATATCATTTTCATTAGTTAATAATATATTTTTATTAAAGGATATATTTCATTACATTACATTGTGTAGATAAAATTGTTGACATTGATAGATAAGTTGCAGATCTATATTAGTTTGTGACAAATGAAAGAAAAAATATTGGGAACTATTAATTATATATATAAAGTTTGATTACACTCAGTGTTTTTAAATAATTTTCATCTGTTAATAGATAACAAAACATCTGGTAAATATCTTATCACACAATTATAATTGGAGTGACAGATTTATTTGAAAATTTTCTGTTTCCTAAGTGTTGATGATAAGATCTGTAGGACAGTATAAATAAAGTTTGAAATTTACTGTTCATTATTAGACATTTTGATGATAATTACAGATAAGTTTTATAGATTTTTAATAGATATTGTATTAATGATAAATGACATTTTGGATTTTTTTTTTTCATCTTTTCTTTTGTAAATTGTTTGAAGAATTTTGTGGTAGGTTTGTTTGTTATTCTGTATAAACTTATTTTCTGAATGCTATATATATTTTTTTTTTTTGATGAAGCAAACTCCTTTAAAAACTAAGCTTAGTTTGTCTATTAATAAACATATATTTAGATTTCTGATTTTGGGCCCAGTTTTCAAGTTGGTCCAAATCAGGGTCCAAAATTATACATGTACTGTGTTTTATTTCAACATAAATTGAATATATATAAGGGTTCTTTGAAAAGCTGAATCTAAACCTGTATTTTTTTTCATTATTAATTAGATAATACCCCATTGAGGTCCAAAGGGTCCTAACTTAAACTTTTGTTTGATTTCATCAACAATTCAAAAATTGAATTTTTGGGGTTCTTTGATATGCTAATGATAACAATGTTATTAGATTTTGGATATTGGACCATAATAGGTAAATTTCCGATTTCAAATTTTTCAGTTCTTTGACCACATTCATTTTGTGTCACAAACCTATACTGTGTCAAATATTTAATCACAATCCAAATTCAGAGCTGTTTTAAGCTTAAATGTTGTGTTCATACTTGCTCAACTGTTCAGGGTTCGACCTCTGCAGGAAAATCCGGTTTGCTGTCACTCTGACAGCCTCTTGTTTAAACTGAAATATTATATAAAATAGTCATGTAGCAATTGTTGCTTTTCATATTTTGTTCCTGCAATGTTCATTTTAGATCCCTTGATCATTCTTATATTTTAGGTTATTTTTGCCTATGGAAATTATTGTGATATAGATGAAGTCAGATTATAGCAAAAATAAGATTAAAAGATCTCTGTTATGTTGTTGAGGCACTTGCTACATGTAAAAACCATCCTGTTATTTTGAAAACACTTTTAAACAAACATAGATACTCACTTCAGAAGCTTAAAGACATAACTATGGAATCACTTTGGTGAACTATAACTGTTATGAATGAAAGTAAGGAATTCAAAGGCTTATATTGCCATGTAAACTGTAAATATAAATATAGCATATTATTGTATTGCAGAGTAAGCCCTATGGGTGATGCAGCAACTGCATTCAGTCGTGAAGGATTTGGTAGGCAGAGTATGTCAGAAAAACGCAAGGGACATATTGATCCTAATCAGAGTGAGGTGTATCAGAAAATCAAAACAATTAGGGATAGTAATCGAGGTAATTATTTATGGCATATCTATTGTAATGCAATTATCTAGTTCTGTTTAATGGCTGTTTCTGTTCTTAAAGATTAAATGGTTTAACCATTAGAATATCTACAATAACTGAGGAATGATAGAAAGTCCTTTTTGATATTCTGAAGGGTGGATAATGTTGTGAAAATTAATTCATTAAAAATTTACATTTTTATTTTTTTTAATTCTTGGGTTTGTTGACTTATTGATGTTTATTTTGGAGTCCTCTTTTTCATATTTCTACAGCTTGTACTAAATGAATTATATATTTTACAACAATTTATGTATAGTTATTGTATTGTTTTTATACGACCGCAAATTGCGGTCGTATATTGGTATCACGTCTTCGGTGTCGTCCGAAGACATTTGGTTTCCGGACAATACCTTTAGTTTAAGTGTATGGATCTCTATGAAATTGAAGCAAAAGGTTAATTACCACAAAAGGAAGGTTGGGATTGTTTTTGGGGGTGATGGTCCCAACCGTTTAGGAATAAGGGGCCAAAACAAGTTTCAGGACAATAACTTGTGTATAAGTATTTTGATTGCTCTGAAATTGTACCACAAGTTTCAATACCACAGGTAGAAGGTTGGGATTCATTTTGGGGGTAATTGCCCAAATTGTTCAGGAATTAGGGGCCAAAAAGGGTCTAAAACAAGCATTTTTCTAGTTTTCAGACAAAAACTTGTGTTTAAGTGTATGGATGTCTCTTAATTTGTACAACATGTTTTATGGAAGGGGGGGGTAAAAAAAATATTTTTTTTTTGGGGGGGTGCAATTTTTTTTCCTCAAAAGAAAATTCTCTTCAAATATAATTTTTTTGGAGGGGAGTAAAAAAAAGTTTGTTTTTTTTTTGTGTGGGGGGGGGGGGGGGGGGGGGAGGGGTGTCATTTTTTTTACCTCAAGATTAAAGAAATTGTCAATTTTCCAAAGTAAAAAAATTGGGGGCCACAACTTATTTTGCTAATTCTTTGTACTGGTATATAGTCTGAAAACAGATTTACTAAGTATTGCGCAACAGCACAGTGTATTGCACAACAACCAGAAATCTTCAATTGAATATAAATTCAAATCATACAACCAATTTCAAGTTCTATGACTACATTTATTCTGTGTCAGAAACCTATAATGTGTCAAATATTTAATAACAATCCAAACTTCAGACCTGTATCAAGCTTGAATATTGTGTCCATTTTTGCTCCAACTGTTCAGGGTTGGACCTCTGCGGTCGTATCCAGCTGCGCTCGGCGAAGCAGTTTATTGTCATTTATTGTTTAATTTAATTTCCTTTTCTTCGATTACCTGTAGTTGAAAGCTATTATAATTACTGTATTATAATAATATTATTTGGCCACTACATAGTCCAACTACATATAAGAAAGCTATAAGGATTTATTGTTTAAAGAAGTTGCATATCATCTTACCATACATTGTCATAAATTGCAAGTGATGATTTCAGGTGTTACTACAAGGAAAACACTTTCTTTTCAAATACCAGGTACACAAATCCCATGATTTGTCAGAAGACTGTCATGTGGTAGCAATTCTTTGTTGCTTCTATTCATTGCACATTTTTTGTAACCTAGAAATTTATTTTGTTGAAAATGCTGATTCATAGTTTTTATCCACTATTTTTTCTATGAGCTGTAACTGGTATTTTTTGCCATTTACCAAATTCCTTGTTCTATAGTGAGAAATATAACAATTTTGTTTGGATTTAATGATAATAAACATATTTCACATGAAATTAAGTAAAGCAAGTCCTCAAATTTCTTTCAAAAATGATATCATATTTGTAAATAGCTCTGTGGAATATTCAAGATAATATTGAAATTCAATGAATCAATGTAATAACTATAAGTCTTTCAAAATTGGTTTTATTTTAATGCTTAGATTCTGTGAGTCGTAATCATTTATCTGCAAGAATGTTTAGTAAAAAAACTTGGAGCAATATTGTGGTGTTAAAGAGGAAATAGTTATTTTATGAACAGCATTTTCAAAGTTATTTGTTAATTTCTGTAATTCTACTATTTTCTTATTTAAAATCCTTATTTCTAGCATATTAATAAAGTAGGTTCCATTATTAGTAGGATATTGATAGGTAATTGATTTTGAACAGTTTTCATTAAATTTATATGTGTTGTTATGTGTTTAGGATTTAAAGCTTAAATCACCAGTAAAACTAAAACATAGCAGATAAGATCTACTGTGGATTCATTAATATTCGTGGGATACCAATTTTCGTGGACTTCGTTGTTACAGGTGATCCACGAAATTAAATGTTAAACGAATTACAAATTTCCTATAGTCATGTATGCAGACTTTTGCAAAACCACGAAATCAAATATCTGTAAAAATGCAAGAATTCCTGAATCCACGAAAATTGGTACCCACGAAAATAAATGAATCCACAGTATTCCTCAACGTATTAAGGAAGCATGATTGGTTAGATTAAAATAGAAAAGAAACTAGCTTTCATCAGATAAATATTTTTTTTTTTTTTCATAGAATTTTTCCTATTTTTATAAAAGAATGCATATGATCCAAATTCATTTGCACCTACCCAGATCAATAGTGTAGTGACTATTTGTCTTTAATGTACTATATCTACTAGGTCCATTGTCCATTCCACTGTTTACATGTTGCAATTGCATCATACTGCCTGTCCTTTATTCTTGTTAAAACCTAATATTGGAAACGTATCAAAACATCTAGGAACTTCAAATATAGTGAAAAGTAACCTCTTCTTAACTATGCTATTTTCAAGAAATGGGTCTCTTCATTAAACTGCTTATGTAAAACCTTTAAGGTCATATTTCTTTTTAAATTTCTAATGGTGATTATATGTACTTAATCAAGGAATCAAATTGACATAATACACAATATATTATTATAAAGATCTAATTTACAGATAATTTGCATCAATATATATATAGCAAAGAAATATTTAATACATTCATTTGAGTTGTAGCTCTCTAGAACTTCATTGTTGTATTTGTTTATGTTTCATAAATCTAATATACAGTTATTTATGCTGTAACTTTGCTAAAATTTAGCTAATTTGAATTAAATATTCTAGTTTACAATGTTTAATATTAGATAATGCTTTTTAAGTTTGTTTCTACCCATTCATGAGTGGATGGACAGGGGTAAGGGAACATTGGAATGAGGAGGGAATGAAGCCAGAGTCAAGGGAGGAGGGACTAGGGTAAGGGGGAGTAAAAATAGGGTTATGCTGGAAAAGTTTTTCTGCCCAATTTATGTCTTGAAGTAAGGGGGAGAAATGTAGGAGTATGGGGGTGGAAGTTGGAGGGGGGAGGGGTAGGGAAGTGGGAATCAGGGACCCCTTGTCTAACCCTCATTCATTACATTCGCAGCAGATTATTCATTCGAAAAATTCTTTGAACTAAACATATTTTCACTTACTATTGACAAATTTTATAAAAGGGTTCTTATAAATCTATTTTTCCCATTTGAGCAGTTCAACTGTTGGTTTTGTTTCCATTTTTAATTCATATTCAATTAATAATGTGGTCTTTTTCCACAACTTTTCAGTAATTTCTATTCTAATCTCATTTTAATTTGAATCTAGCTTTCATAGAAATTTATCTAAAAAAAATTTGTTGTTGCAAAGTATTTTTAAACTGTCATAAATTTTTGGGTTAATAGACTATCTCTTCAAAGAACTCAATTTAATGTTTCCGCCAAATGTGTCAACTTTTATTGATCATTAAGATATAGCATTTCTAATATTTTAGTTAAATATAACTAAAGCATGTAAAGACATGAAAAAAAGATAGACCAATTAAAAATTAAGAATAAAATTATATTACAAATTGATTTTTGTTAGCGTGATGTTAAGAGAAATAAATGATTTAAAGTGTATATTGACTAATGGTATTTTACAGCTCAAAGTGGACAGAAGAGAGTGTCATCAAACTTTGTAAGAGTAGGCTCAATGGAATCATTAATGAGTAATGGAAACAGATCCAGGTTACCTCCCCTTCCATTAAAGAATGTTCACTATCCAGCCAATGGTATATGTCTATATGTCTTTTTTAGTTAAATCAGTATATATGTAGCTTGAAGGAATAAACAGTATTCTCACATACTATCTAGGAATATGATTATGCAGTTCGTGATTTATTTGACTTAAAATGTAAATTAGGTTTGACGCTGTCTTGTGTTTATTTCATCAAGACTGCTTGTTATGTTTGGTTGAGCATTGTTTCATTGAAGATACTTTTGATAGTTTAAACAATACGAAAAAATTTATTTAAGCACATCAATTAATTGACATGCAACAATAACATAAAATTTCAAGTAATTTAGTACTTTAATAATAGTTCTTTTTGGCCTTAAATTATATTGTTTTCATCATTTATTTACATTTTTCCAGGGTCAGTTTTTATACGACCGCAAAAAATTTGCGTTTGTATAATGTTATCACGTCGTCGTTGTCTGAAGACATTTGGTTTCCGGACAATAACCTTAGTTTAAGTGCATGGATCTCTATGAAATTTAACCAAAAGGTTCAATACTACAAAAGGAAGGTTGGGATTGTTTATGGGGGTGATGGTCCCAACCGTTTAGGAATTAGGGGCCAAAAAGGGGCCCAAAACAAGCATTTTTCTAGTTTCAGGACAATAACTTGTGTATAAGTATTTTTGATTGCTCTGAAATTGTACCACAAGGTTCAATACCACAAGTAGAAGGTTGGGATTCAGTTTGGGGGTAATTTCTCAAACCGTTCAGGAATTGGGGGCCAAAACAAGCATTTTTTCTAGTTTTCAGACAATAACTTGTGTTTAAGTGTATGGATGTCTCTTAAATTGTTCCACATTTTACAAAAAGAAAATTTCTTCAAATATTATTTATTTTGGAAAATTGGGGGGTCAATTTTTTTCCTCAAGATTTAAGAAACTATCAATTTTCCAAAAAAACAATTGGGGGTCACAATTTATTTTGCTAATTCTTTGTATATAGTCTGAAAACAGATTTACTAAGTATTGCGCAACAGCACAGTGTATTGCACAACAGCAAGAAATCTTCAATTGAATATAAATTCAAATCATATAACCAATTTCAAGTTCTTTGACTACATTTATTCTGTGTCAGAAATAATGTGTCAAACATTTAATTACAATCCAAATTCAGACCTGTATCAAGCTTGAATATTGTGTCCATTTTTGCCACTTTTCAGGGTTGGACCTCTGCGGTCGTATCCAGCTGCGCTTGGTGAAGCACTTTATTCCTTTCTTTTAGTTTATCCTTTTCCTAATGATTATGTTTCCTAATTAGTATTATGAACTCATCTTATAAAAATCTAAGAAGAAACTCTGTGCCACTTATAAATATTGTATATATTTTTTTCTTAAATCAGGTCAAGGATCACAGCACCCTGTGGTATCAAATCTCAAAAGATTTGGATCATTGGAGAACCTTGCAACAACAGGAACAAGTTCTGATAATGAAGACAAAAGGGAAAGTCCAGAAACAATAGAAAGTTCTCCTAGCCCTGAGCTACCACACATGGCACGGGGAAGGAAATGTAATGATAGTTTTCGAGCGGCTGTGGATAGATCATATGACCCTCCTACCCCACATAGTACTATGGATACATGTAGGTTTAATGCTAGTGTAGTTGTATCGCTGCATGGTTAGGACACCTTAAAAAAGACAACTAAGGTTCTGAAAGAAATTTGTTTTATCAAGAAATTATATGGCAACTCAGTTAAGCAAGAGAAAATTAAAAGAGAATGAGATTTTTTTTTTTAAATAAACATATATAACAGGAAGATTTAATTAATTTCCAGGAAACAACAACTATATAATTCATCAATTTAATTGTACAAAAGCTGCAGATGCTATGTTTGTCCTCAAATAAGCTATCAGAAATGAAAACATCCCACCTATTCCAAATTTGATAATGATGTTTGCCAGGTAGTATTTTACCTGTTAAAAATCATTGTCCCTGCCGATACTATAGTCTATAAAGATATATATAATCCTCAGTATGAGCTTGTATTAATATGCCTTAGGAAAATATCTTGACTGACTGTAATATATTTTGAAAATTATATGAAATAAGTGTTTATGGCAAACTTTTAGTTTTTTGATATGATAAATATGTTTCTCTCTGGCGTTTTGGGATTTAATGGCTCTTGGATTTCTTTTTCTTGAAGTTTATATTTTATCTAAAAATAATGCTATTTGCTAGTTCATTCTTTTGGTACAATTTAACACACTGGTTGTGGAGCTAATGATATAAATATTTTGGACTGGTTTATTTTGCTATTTAGGTAATCGTAACAATGAATCTGAACCAGAGGAGGAAGATGATCCATTAAATTCAAGCGGTGGTTTTGCCGTACAAGGCGATGGTACTAAAAGAATTATTTAAGTGCATGAATAGCTCATGTTTTTCTAACAGCACGATTGTTAAGTTAAAATGCAGATTGTGTCTATATATAGAAACTAATTTTATTTAATATCATGGCCAATAATTTGTATATATATAGAGAGTGAATTTATATATGGAGCAAAATTTAATATATCCAAAATATAATCAAGTGCAAAAATAATGATGTGTTTTCTATGTGTATTTAATATTCATGTGACTTTTTAAAAAGTTTTTGAGAAAAGAAATTCTACTTGATTAATTTATATTTTACAACATAATTCATTTACATTTTATACACAGTACATACATAGAAAGTTGATATTTATAAGGTTTTAAGTATATTTCTTTTCAAAAGAGAAAACTCTTAAATTTTATAGACTAGCCATTATATAGACACAATCTTGTTGAAGCATGGTAGCTGGATTTTGGTGGTAGCAGTTGTCTTCCCTTGGGATGATGTTTTATGTTGTTTATATACTTTGTTTATGTAATAACTATAGTTGTTTTTCTTCCAGATTATTTGTTTTCTTCCTTGCTTGTTTATTGTTATCAGTATATGACATGTTAAAATGGTCGTTTTGGTTTATAGTCTGATTCAGTTTACTCTGTTTTAAATTTTTTATAGGGAATGTATAATCTAAGTATTGTATGGGAGTATTTTTTTAGCTCACCTGGTCAATAGAGACAGTGTGAGCTTTTCTAATCACTTGGCATCCCTACTCCGTCAGAGTCTGTTAACTTTTGCACAAGTCTGTTCCTCTGAAACTATGGGGTCATTTAGAACCGACCTTGACCACACTTATTCTTGGGGTATATAGTTTTAACTAAAAACAGGGCCAAATATAGAACTTAAAAGTATTGTCTTTTATCTTGAAAACTGTTTTAAATAGAGAAGTCTAAATCTAACATCTGCCCATTTTGACCACAATTGTCAGATTATTCCTTATTGGAGTTATTGCCCTTAAATGACTAATTAAAACATTTTTTTTTATTTTGGCTGTTATCTTGAAAATATGATAGATAGAGAGAAACTGTATATAACAAAAATGATCTGCAAGAAGACATATGGTCAACATCATCAGTCAACTGCTTACAAAAGTTATAGCCCTTGAATAACAAATTTCACCCATTTTTGTGTTTTTTTGGCGGAAACTATAGTAGATATAGAGAAACTGTAAATAGAAAAAATGATCAGAAAAATAAGATCTACAGATATTAAGGTCAACATGGCCAATATGGTCCCTTGACTCTTTGTAAGAATTTGTGGCTCCATTGATGAATTTTACAGATTTTTGTGGGGGTTTTTTTTGGCAGAAACTATATCAAAAACGAGAGAAACTGTAAATAGCAAAAATTAATCAGCAAATCAAGATCTACAAACAAGTCAAAATGACAGAAATTGTCAGTCCACTCCTAATGATTGTTAATGCCTTTGAATGGTGTTTTTACCCATTGTTTGACTATCCAAGTGCCCATCAATATCACATTTCTGTCCCATTTTCTCAGCAACATCAAAATACATAATAGTTTTTGATATTTGAAACCAAACTTCATATTGGTAAGCTATATTGTGCAACACATTTCTGTCATTCATGCTTCAGTGACAAATTATTAGTTTATTTCAACAAATTTAAGCAATATTTTACTTTGTATTAGGATGTTTTTTAGAAGAACAGTATTCAACAAAACATAGATTTCATGGAATTAGTAATTAAATTTAACATACAAGTTAAATTATCATGTTATTAGTTACCTACAGTCAATGTTAGGAGTTGACTTGAGTATTATTTCACCCTGATCATACAGTTTATGATTTCACTGGAACACATGTTTAATACCTATTTCAGTGTGCATATCAGGCATGTTTCTAAAAATAAAACCTCCCTCAGAAACTACTTACAAAGATCATGAAGGGTCAAATATACTGTTCTATATGTGTTCTTATATCATTGTTTCACATAGATGTGTCAACCGTTGGTCTATTCTCATTGACTGTGTGAATCTTTTAAGATATCATATGGTATGTCCATTTTATTGTAGTGTCTAATGGCTATTTCCAGTTAGTCACAGGCAAGGGTGGTGCTTAATTTAGCCTAAATCATAAACATGTTTTATATGAAATGCCATAACAATCTTTTTAAGTAAACTTCCATTGATTTTAAATCTTTTTGAAAGAGGACAACTAGATCACAAATTAATATCACAAAGGTTGTGTATAGAGGTACTTCACACATCACTGGTTATATTTAGTTTTTTACTTGCAAAGTGGTGCACACATATTTTAGGGGAACTAATACTAAATGTTTATTGACATCCTTGAATTTGATGTACCTGGTAAATGAATTTGTAGATAAAAATAATGTTTTAAGAAAAAAAATTAGTTCACTTTGCTCAAAGTGTTAACAAATATTTATAAAAATGATTGATTCAATGATTCAATTGGCTTATTTGAAATAATTTTGATAGATGATAAAAATTTGATCCAAGAATAAATTCATTGAAAAGCTTACATTTTACATAGGGACTTGGTGTACACAACCATATCTTCTAATTTAAAATAGCTAGACCTGGATCATTCAAAGGGTGTCAGGTTTTTATATGACCGCAAAAAAATTTTGCGGTCGTATATTGGTATGATGTTGGCGTCGTCGTCCGAAGACACATTGGTTTTCGCACTCTTACTTTAGTTTAAGTGAATGGATCTCTATGAAATTTTACCATAAGGTTCAATACCACAAAAGGAAGGTTGGGATTGATTTTGAGGGTTATGGTACCAACAGTTAAGGAATTAGGGGCCAAAAATAAGCTTTTTTGTAACTTCCAGACATAACTTGTGTGTTAGTGTATGGATCTCTCTGACATTGTACCACAAGGTTCCATATCACAAAGGGAATGCTGGGATTGATTTTGGGGGTAATTGCCTCAAATTTTAGGAATTAGGGGGCAAAAAAACAAGCATTTTTCTAGTTTCATGACAATAACTTGTGTGTAAGTGTATGGATCTTTCTGAAATTGTACTACAAGGTTCCATATCACAAAGGGAAAGCTGGAATTGAGTTTGGGGGTAATTGCCCAAAACATTTAGGAATAAGGGGCCAAAAAGGGGCCAAAAAGGGGCCAAAAATAAGCATTTTTCTAGTTTCCAGACAATAACTTGTGTTCAAGTGTATGGATCTCTCTGAAATTGTACTGCAAGGTACCATACCACAAAGGGAAGGCTGGGATTGATTTTGTGGGTAATTGCCTCAAAATTTTAGGAATTAGGGGCCAAAAAGGGGCAAAAAAACAAGCATTTTTCTAGTTTCAGGACAATAACTTGTGTGTAAGTGTATGGATCTTTATGAAATTGTACTACAAGGTTCCATAACCCAAAGGGAAAGCTGGGTTTGAGTTTGGGGTAATTGCCCTAGACATTTAGGAATTTGGGGCCAAAAAGGGGCCTAAAAACAAGCATTTTTATAGTTTCCAGACAATAACTTGTGTTCAAGTGTATGGATCTCTCTGAAATTGTACTGCAAGGTACCATACCACAAAGGGAAGGCTGAGATTGAGTTTGGGGTGATGAATCATAAGGGGGTTCAAAACATTTGGGGGAGGGATTTTTTTTTCCTTTTTTTCCTTTTTTTTTCTTTAAAATGTTCCATTTTAAATTGGTTATTTCTGATTTATATATAAAAGCAAATAATAATGATATGGTTTGAATAGGTAAATTAAAATTTTTTAAGTTCTTAGACCACATTCATTCTGTGTCAGAAACCTATGCTGTGTCAAATAATTAATCACTATCCAAATTCAGTGCTGTATCAAGCTTGAATGTTGTGTCCATACTTGCCCCAACTGTTCAGGGTTCGACCTCTGCGGTCGTATCAAGCTGTGCCCAGCGGAGCATTTTATTAATTTGTATATTACAATCTTTTGAAAACATATAACTGACACTCTGATTGAGTCAGAAATTGTGTAAATGATGCTAAATTCCATAGTTACATTTTAGATAAAAGATTTAATGGTTCAGTATTGAATCACAATAGTTATTCAACTAATATAATAAGTTAGGTAATGAGAAAGACTACAGCAGGTAATTGTTTGGTAAATCAGCATCATAAACATTTATTTAGATTATAAGGATTTATTTAGATTGTAAGGTGTCAACAAAGTTTTGTATAGACTGCTGTGTTGTGAGATGTTCAGTGTAGATGAATATATTTCAGTGGAAGAAGAAAGCAGTGAGAGTAACTTACCAAACTCAGCCAGGTCATCTGTCAGCAGTGATCATACAGATGATAATAAAAAGACTAAGAAGAAAAATCCTAAAGATAAAAAAGGAGGCATTTTAAAGGGAATTTTCAGGTAAGTTATCAGTGTATTGTCAGTAATGACAAACAGAAGACAGAATGATTTTTAATAAATCCTAAAACTATAGATAGATTCCAGAAATATATTAAACTATTTATGCTCTGTTGTCTATACTAATATCACAACAGGTAAATTTCCTTATGATAGTGACATGTATAATGTTAGATAAGAATTTTGTTTGACTGTTAAAAAGTAAATGACAAATTCAAAATTGAGATTATTGTACCGGTAATATACTTATGCAGATGTATTTTTCACAGCCTTTTTAAAGTGAGTTCTCTTTTCTTCCACATTGCAAATTGAGTCATCTCTGTTATAGAATTGGTAAACACAAGAAAACAGAAGAGCCTGCTCAAACATTGGAGGATGATAAGGATAGTCTGAAGGAGGCAGAGCTACAGTTCAAGGTCAGAGAGGAGGCTATTAGGGCACATCAAAAGGATCAAGAAAGGTACTTTTAAACAATTGGATACTGTTATATTTTCCATTTCACCCAGAAAGTCTGTATGATGTGAGTTGTTATGTGAAGTATGACATAAGCCAAAAGTATATACACTATACTATGGATAAATAACACCTGTTGAATTCATTGCTATTGTAACACATATGTTACACTATACTATGGATAAATAACACCTGTTGAATTCATTGCTATTGTAACACACACGTTACACTATACTATGGATAAATAATACCTGTTGAATTCATTGCTATTGTAACACACACGTTACACCATACTATAGATAAATAACACCTGTTGAATTCATTGCTATTGTAACACACACGTTACACTATACTATGGATAAATAACACCTGTTGAATTCATTGCTATTGTAACACACACGTTACACCATACTATGGATAAATAACACCTGTTGAATTCATTGCTATTGTAACACACACGTTACACTTTACTATGGATAAATAACACCTGTTGAATGCATTGCTATTGTAACACACACGTTACACTATACTATGGATAAATAACACCTGTTGAATGCATTGCTATTGTAACACACACGTTACACCATACTATGGATAAATAACACCTGTTGAATTCATTGCTATTGAAACACACGTTACACTATACTATGGATAAATAATACCTGTTGAATTCATTGCTATTGTAACACACACATTACACTATACTATGGATAAACAATACCTGTTGGAATCATTGCTATTGTAACACACACGTTACACTATACTATGGATAAATAACATCTGTTGAATTCATTGCTATTGTAACACATATGTTACACTATACTATGGATAAATAACACCTGTTGAATTCATTGCTATTGTAACACACACGTTACACTATACTATGGATAAATAACACCTGTTGAATTCATTTCTATTGTAACACACACGTTACACTTTACTATGGATGAATAATACCTGTTGAATTGATTGCTATTGTAACACACATGTTACACTATACTATGGATAAACAATACCTGTTGAATTCATTGCTATTGTAACACACATGTTACACTATACTATGGATAATTAATACCTGTTGAATTCATTGCTATTGTAACACTCACGTTACACAATACTATAACAAATTGTCTCTTATTGAGTGTCATTTCACCAACTAATAATGCCTGCCATTGCAGAACTTATTTTACATGGAGTCTATATGTATGTATTGTCAAAGCTTTTCTTGAGAACTGCTCATTTCTAATTAATTGGAATCAAATATGACAGAAACTTCTTCAGGTTCTCTAGTAAATTACTTGCTGTTTTTAGCTCACCTGACCTGAAAGGTCAAGTGAGCTTTTCTCATCACTTTGCGTCCGTCGTCCGTCGTCCTGCGTCCGTCGTCCGTAAACTTTTACAAAAATCTTCTCCTCTGAAACTACTGGGTCAAATTTAACCAAACTTGGTCACAATCATCATTGGGGTATCTAGTTTAAAAAATGTGTCCGGTGATCCGGTCAACCAACCAAGATGGCCGCCATGGCTAAAAATAGAACATAGGGGTAAAATGTAGATTTTGGCTTATATCTCTGAAACCAAAGCATTTAGAGCAAATCTGACATGGGGTAAAATTGTTTATCAGGTCAAGATCTATCTGCCCTGAAATTTTCAGATGAATCTGACAACCCGTTGTTGGGTTGCTGCCCCTGAATTGGTAATTTTAAGGAAATTTTGCCGTTTTTGGTTATTATCTTGAATATTATTATAGATAGAGATAAACTGTAAACAGCAATAATGTTCAGCAGAGTAAGATCTACAATTAAGTCAACTTGACCAAAATGGTCAGTTGACCCCTTAAGGAGTTATTGCCCTTTATAGTCAATTTTTAACCATTTTTCGTAAATTTTTGTAATCTTTTACAAAAATCTTCTCCTCTGAAACTACTAAGACAAATTTAACCAAACTTTTACACAATCATCATTAGGGTATATAGTTTAAAAAATGTGTCTGATGACCCCGCCCGCGAACCAAGATGGCCGACATGGCTAAAAATAGAACATAGGGGTAAAATGTAGATTTTGGCTTATATCTCTGAAACCAAAGCATTTAGAGTAAATCTGACATTGGGTAAAACTGATTATCAGGTCAAGATCTATCTGCCCTGAAATTTTCAGACCAATCAGGCAACACGTTTTTGGGTTGCTGCCCCAGAATTGGTAATTTTAAGAAAATTTTGCAGCTTTTGGTTTTTATCTTGAATACTATTATAGATAGAGATAAACTGCAAACAGCAATAATGTTCAGCAAAGTAAGATCTACAAATAAGTCAACAGACCAAAATTGTCAATTGACCCCTTAAGGAGTTATTGCCCTTTATAGTCAATTTTTTACAATTTTTTCGTAAATTTTGTAAATTTTTGTAAATTTTTACAAAACATTTTCCACTATAACTACTGGGCCAAGTTCATTATAGATAGAGATAATTGTAAGCAGCAAGAATGTTCAGTAAAGTAAGATCTACAAACACATCACCATCACCAAAACACAATTTTGTCATGAATCCATCTTTGTCCTTTGTTTAATATGCACATATACCAAGGTGAGCGACACAGGCTCTTTAGAGCCTCTAGTTTTTATGCCCCAGCGGTAGCGGAGGGGGCATTAAGTTTTACCCTTGTCCCTCTGTACATACGTACGTCCATTAATTGGTTTTCGTTCTCTAACTTTAGTTTGCCTCAACCAAATGTTATGAAACTTATACACAATGCTTATTACCACAAAACACAGATCAAGTTTGAATTTTGGTGGCGTTACTTTTACAGTTCTAGAGTAATGCCCCTTTTTACAAATGGAAAAATTGCTGAATTTTTCGTTTCAGTTCTCTAACTTTAGTTTGCCTCTACCAAATGTTATGAAACTTATACACAATGCTTATAACCACAAAACACAGATCAATTTCAATTTTGGTGGCGTTACTTTTACAGTTCTAGAGTAATGCCCCTTTTTACAAATGGAAAAATTGCTGAATTTTTCGTTTCAGTTCTCTAACTTTAGTTTGCCTCTACCAAATGTTATGAAACTTATACACAATGCTTATTACCACAAAACACAGGTCAAGTTTGAATTTTGGTGGCATCACTTTTACCTTTCTAGAGTTATATTCCTTTATAACATTATATGCAAGCAGGGGCATCATCTGTGTCCCATGGACACATTCCCCATTTATTTTTAATTTGTTGCTAATCAGCCAGTCTTTGGGAATTTTCATTTCCCATGAGAATTCAAAAGAAATTTCTTCTTGTGATCTTCTACTCTAGATGAAACTTATTATGATAGAAAAGTCCTTTGTCATGTACTTTCTTATTAGTTGTACCATGGTGTACATGGCCAACATGTATGACAACAAAATTTTACTTAGGAACCTTTTGCATCTTCTTGAAAACTGTTGACCAATTGAAAGCAGATATGGTTCCCTCTGGTTCCCTGTAAGATACTGAGTTTGTAACTTTGTTACTGACTTGCTTACTAGTATGACAGCTTTGATCTAAGTATTGCATTTGTTCATGTAGGAAATATGTAAAAAAAAACTGTACCCTTTGATACCAATAATTGCATTGGTTGTAAGAATCACTGTTGACTTTTTGCAGCTCATGTGACCTCTAGTTTTATATCTGACCATTCAAAAGTGATATTATTTATCACAATATATTATAATGTGACTGTAACTGGAGCAAGTAACAAGATTTTTCCTTGTTTCTCAGGGCACAAGAGCAATTTCGTCGTCTTCAAGAATCAAATCAGCCTTCTGAGCAATACCGTTTACTACAGCATTATCATGGATCTAATAGGAGCTTTGACAGTGACCAATCTCCACCAAGCAATATGTCACGTGCTGATTGGATACAGTATTTAAGAATGGAGCATCAGCGTAAACACCGTGAGAGACATGGGCATTACCCTCACGAGGATAGAGAGGAGTTTCATGAGCAGGAAATACAGCAATCATTAGAAAAACCTCAGGTAGTCATATACTTATTCTTTGACTGCATTATAGTATTCAGTAATTATCCTCAACATTACAATGATCAATTGTTTGTTTTGCGTTTTAAAAGAAGGACATATAATAACAATTGTAAAAAAATTAAATGTGTCCTGCTGCAGAAGAACTCTCTCTTAGTTTTGGTTCTGACTTAAAACTTTTTGGGGCAAAGTTCAGATATCCATTGTTTAAGATCAAAGGTCTAAATCAAAATGCTATGAATGCATTAAAGACTAAACCATGTTAGCAAACTATGACAAAATTGGTATTGATAATCACCATAAAAATAAGATGACCTGTATTGATTTTCATGTTCAGAGCATAAATCTAAAGGTCTAGGTAAAAAATAAAATCAAAACAATGTAATGTTTGGTCAGTCTTTAACAAACTGTAGTGTAAGTACATAATCACAAATTTGGAGAGTTTCACCTAAAAGTTTTTTTCAAGTCTAACCCTATACTGGTTTATATCAACATGAGTTAAATATCTACATTTTCTGCATCTTCCTGTAAAGCAATGTTTACTTAGCCAATATGATAAAGATGCACTGCAAAGATTGTCCAATTGGTCAATAATGTGGACTTTTTCATCAGAAATTATATTACATGATTGGGATTTCACATGTAAGGCATTTCATTTGACTACAAAGCAATATTGAAATAGAACAATGATTTATTATTCAGACATAATTTCTGATGAATAAGTCCCCATTATTGACCAATTGGACAATCTTTGCAGCGCATCTTTATCATATTGTCTAAGTAAATATTACTTTACAGGAAGATGCAGAAAATGTAGATATTTAACTCATGTTGATATAAACCAGTATTCATGCTCTAATGTAATGTATTTAATTATGTATGAAAATGACTCTTTTCTGAAAAATGTTGAAATTTCTACTCCCAATGCATTGTGTTTTTTTCCAGTTCTATTAAAATTAAACAATGAATATGATAAAGTTCATATGTGTTATTTCTTTTATATTTACAGTACTATGGGGACAGTGCAATACACAACAATATGTATCATCAGAAACCGCGTTCATTAAGTCGTCAGCAATTTGACAGGTAACTACTTAACTGATTTAAAAATATCTGTTGGATGAATATGTAATAGCTTATGGAGGAGCAAGCCAGCTTATATTTTTGTAGTAAGCTATAGACTGATGTTTAGGAAAAAAAGTAATTTTACTTTTATTTAAGAAAAATTACAATCGACACAAGATGTACTAAAATGCTTATGTAAGCAGAGAGAATATGAAGCTTTAGCTTTGCTTTTCTTCTAAAGCTTGGGATTTGGTAGAGCCTGAACAGATATTATCTTGATTTTAAATGGAATGAAGAAAAAGTCACTGTAATACAGATTCTGATTTTTATACGACCGCAAAAATTAAAAAAATTTTGGTCGTATATTGGTATCACGTTGTCGTCGTTGTCCGGCGTCGTCGTCAGCGTCATCCGAAGACAGATGGTTTCCGGATAATAACTTTAGTATAAGTAAATAGAAATCAATAAAATTTTAACACAAGGTTTATTACCACTAAAGGAAGGTTGGGATTGATATTGGGGGTTATGGTCCCAACTGTTTAGGAATAAGGGGCCAAAAAGGGGCCCAAATAAGCATTTTTGTAGTTTCCAGACAATAACTTGTGTTAAAGTGTATGAATCTCTCTGAAATTATACCACAAGTTTCCATACTACAAAGGGATGGTTAGGATTGACTTTGGGGGGTTATGGTTCAAACCAATTAGTAACTAGGGGCAAAAAAGGGGAAAAAACAAGGGTTTTTCTGGTTAAAGGACAATTGAGACAATTTAAAAGCAGTGTAAGGGAGGTAATCCAAATCAATTAAAAGAACTCTGTTTGATTACCTCCCTTACACTGCTTGTAAATTATGTATTAAGAAATGATGATTGTCTTGAGGTGATTAGCTGTCAATTTATTTTTAGCAGTTACTATTAATTAATATTAATTTTAGCCATGACTATGTATGTCATTTTATATTTTAAAACTTTTATGATGCATTTAAATGGGTAATTATGGTTGCAAACTCCATTAGAAATTTGAATTGAGATACTGACCATATCTTGAGGGAAAGATTTTTTTTTGGAATACGGGAAAGGGGGGAGGTGAAAAAAATTGGAGGGGAGGGCAATTTTTCTCATTTCAGATTTCAGAAATTAAAAGAAAATTTCTTCAAATATTTTTTTTTGGGGATTAATATTCAACAGCATAGTGTATTGCACAAAAGCAAAAAACCCGGGTAATTTTTTTTTTGGGGGGGGGGTGGTCAATTCACAACAGCATAGTGTATTGCACAAAAGCAAAAAATTGAATATAAATTCAAATCATATAACCAATTTGAAGTTCTTTGACTACAGTTACTCTGTGTCAGAAACCTATTATGTGTCAAAAAATTAGTTACAATCCAAATTCAGACTTGTATCAAGCGTGAATATTGTGTCTATTTTGGCCCCAACTTTTCAGGGTTGGACATCTGTGGTCATATCCAGCTGCGCTCAGCGAAGCAATTTATTTCAGTTACAAACTTGTAAACCTAGAATAAGTATGAACCCATGATAGATAAGGTTTAGGACTAAATTCAAATTGAGACAGCTTCTGTCTGTGTGTTACAGTGAAAAAGAGAAATGGTATCTCATGTTTATTATTTACATTGTTGATACTTAAGCTTACAAGAGGCAATTAGATAAATCAGGAAAAAAGAACACTAGGCATGTTGGTTTAGATGTATCCTCCCATCTGTTACACAGGCTTTCTTAAATTGCATATAACAATGATTTGAAAACTATCTAATGAGAAAAGATTAGAATGTGATATAGATATAAAATTAACTGGTTATTACAGTAGGTAACACAAACCAAGGTAAGTAACAACATCAGAACAACAACATACTAGCTTGTGTAATGTATAAACTAACTTAAAAAATGTATCATTTATATAAAGACTTAGTGTCAACAGTTTTAGTAGTTTAAACAAGTTTTGATAGCTTCGTCCTTTGCTTTTATCATAGAATATGTAATAATTACACTGTAACCTAAATTTCCCTTTTTTTTTTCCCCTTTATAAATGTCCTACATGTTAAAGTAGTATCACCAGCAAAGTATAGTCACAACCTTTGTAACTAACTAATTAATTTATATAAAGATATTACTGATTGAGACCAATTTTAATATATAACAGAAATCTTTAAAGACTTTTTCATTTTTCTAGCTACAGTATTTTTTGTTGTACTGTACAATGTATTATGACAAACTGAACTTTTCTGAATCCAACTAATACCTGATGTACATGTATTGTAAAAACCATTTTATTCTTTGATCATTTAATTAAAAATGAACCATATGTTAAATGCATTTATAAGACCTATGCAGATTTAAATATCTTACACTTGATGGTCTGATCCATAGTAAAATGATTTGGTTATGTATATATAGTTACAGCTGACAGATTAACATCCCTTTGTAAGTTACATATTAAGCTTTATTTAGGTGCTTTTAAATGCTTTTCAAGAATCATCAAGAATCATAATATCACCATGTTTTCTAGGGCAGAGGTTTAGGATTTTGGTTTTTTCTTTAGCACCAAAACAGAAAGGGTAATGGAGGTTGTTGCACAAATGTTCACTTGATATCAGAATTACATGAACACATGCTCTTAAAGCACATGTGTAAGGAAAAAAATGTTTCATATCAGAGAAGAAATAACCTTTCATCAGTCTGAAATGCTTATACAAGGTCTAAACATGATTTTTTTTTCATCTTTGATATTGTATAGAAGTAGATACTAGGAGCAAGTTTCTAAGCATTTGGAATCATTATGCCTTACATTTAAGGCTTAGCCAACTTTTCGCAATTTTTGCATTAGCTCTTTCTCATATTGCTGGACATTAAGTAAACAATCATCAATCAATCTTTCTCTTATTTGAAGACATAACATCTATATGAGGAGTTACATTAAAGATATGTTTTTATATAAAGGACATATTTTTGTTGAGTGAAATTGACTGTCCTTTATAAAGTCTCCTTCATAGAGTTAAGGCCCAGTTTGCTTTATCTTGCATGTCTTGTCTTTTTTTTTTTTATTTGTCACAGATTTTTCTTATAAATATATAATTGAAGAAGAGGTAAGGTCATTGAGACAGCAACCCAAAAAAAGTGTAATTTAGGTCTTCAGTGAAAGATGTATGTCTTATCTATCATTACCCTAATGGCTTTATTGCTATTACTTGGTAATTTTTTTAATGGCGACAGCATCTCAATTTTTTTTAACTTTTCAATTATTTTTATACGACCGCAAAAATTAAAAATTTTTTGGTCGTATATTGGTATGACGTTGGCGTCGTCGTCGTCGTCGTCGTCGTCGTCGTCCAGCGTCGTCTGGCGTCGTCCGAAGACACATTGGTTTTCGCACTCTAACTTTAGTTTAAGTGAATGGATCTCCATGAAATTTCACCATAAGGTTCAATACCACGAAAGGAAGGTTGGGATTGATTTTGGGGGTTATGGTACCAACAGTTAAGGAATTAGGGGCCAAAAATAAGCATTTTTGTAACTTTCAGACAATAACTTGTGTGTAAGTGTATGGATCTCTCTGACATTGTACCACAAGGTTCCATATCACAAAGGGAAGGCTGTAATTGATATTGGGGGTAATTGCCTCAAAATTTTAGGAATTAGGGGCCAAAAAAGGGGCAAAAAACAAGCATTTTTCTAGTTTCATGACAATAACTTGTGTGTAAGTGTTTGGATATTTCTGAAATTGTACTACAAGGTTCCATATCACAAAGGGAAAGCTGGAATTGAGTTTGGGGGTAATTGCCCGAAATGTTTAGGAATTGGGGGCCAAAAAGGGGCCAAAAATAAGCATTTTTCTAGTTTCCAGACAATAACTTGTGTTCAAGTGTATGGATCTCTCTGAAATTGTACTGCAAGGTACCATACCACAAAGGGAAGGCTGGGATTGAGTTTGGGGGTGATGAATCATAAGGGGGTTCAAAAAATTGGGGGGGGGGGATTTTTTTTTTTTTTTTTTTTCTTTTTATTCCTTTTTTTTTTCTTTTAAAATTTTCCATTTTAAGTTGGTTATTTCTGATTTATATTTAAAAGCAAATAATAATGATATGGTAGGAGATACACACCAAACAGGATGTGTAAATTATTATATAATAAGTATTGTGCAATAGCAAGAAATTTTCAATTGCACAGTATTGCACAATAGCAAGAAATCTTCAATTGCACAGTATTGCGCAATAGCAAGAAATCTTCAATTTAACAGTATTGCGCAATAGCAAGAAATATCCAATAGCACAATATTGCGCAATAGCAAGAAATTGTCAATTGTACAGTATTGCGCAATAGCAAGAAATATTCAATTGCACAGTATTGTGCAAAAGAAGATACTTCGTATAAATTGCTTATTTCTTGATCAATTTCAATGGGGTTTTATTCTTGAATTCTTGGGGTTCTTTAATATGCTGAATCTAGCCGTGTATTAAGTTTTTGGATTTTGGGCCCCGTTTTTAAATTGGTCCACATTGAGGTCCAAAGGGTCCAAAATTTAACTTTGTTTGATTTCATCAAAAATTGAATTATTGGGGTTCTTTGATATGCCGAATCTAACCGTGTATTTAGATTTTTAATTTTGGGTCCCGTTTTTTAAATTGGTCTACATTAAGGTCCAAAGGGTCCAAAATTAAACTTAGTTTGATTTTAACAAAAATTGAATTCTTAGGGTTCTTTGATATGCTGAATCTAAACATGTGTTTAGATTTTTGATTATGGGCCCAGTTTTCAAGTTGGTCCAAGTTGGGGTCCAAAATTAAACTTTGTTTGATTTCAACAAAAATTGAATATATGGGGTTCTTTGATATGCTGAATCTAAACATGTGTTTAGATTTTTGATTATGGGACCAGTTTTCAAGTTGGTCCAAGTTGGGGTCCAAAATTAAACTTTGTTTGATTTCAACAAAAATTGAATATATGGGGTTCTTTGATATGCTGAATCTAAACATGTATTTAGATTTTAGATTTTTGGCCCAGTTTTCAAGTTGGTCCAAATTGGGGTCCAAAATTAAACTTTGTTTGATTTCAACAAAAATTGAATATATAGGGTTCTTTGATATGCTGAATCTTACCATGTATTTAGATTTTTTATTTGTGGGCCCGCTATCAAATTGGTTCATATTGAGGTCAAAAGGGTCCAAAATTAAACTTTGTTTGATTTCATCAAAAATTGAATTATTGGGGTTCTTTGATATGCCAAATCTAACCGTGTTTTTAGATTTTTAATTTTGGGTCCCGTTTTTTAAATTTGTCTACATTAAGGTCCAAAGGGTCCAAAATTAAACTTAGTTTGATTTTAACAAAAATTGAATTCTTTGGGTACTTTGATGTGCTGAATCTAAACATGTGTTTAGATTTTTGATTATGGGACCAGTTTTCAAGTTTGTCCAAGTTGGGGTCCAAAATTAAACTTTGTTTGATTTCAACAAAAATTGAATATATGGGGTTCTTTGATATGCTGAATCTAACCATGTATTTTGATTTTGGACATTGGACCATAATAGGTAAATTAAAAAAATTGAAGTTCTTAGACCACATTCTTTCTGTGTCAGAAACCTATGCTGTGTCAAATATTTAATCACAATCCAAATTCAGAGCTGTATCAAGCTTGAATGTTGTGTCCATACTTGCCCCAACTGTTCAGGGTTCGACCTCTGCGGTCGTATCAAGCTGCGCCCAGCGAAGCATTTTATTTAAATCTGAAAGGACAGAGCTTGTTATTTAATGTTTTTTTTTTTTTTTTTATTAAACTAAAAGATCAGTCATTTTATTCATGGGTGAAAAAAGTTAATTTTCATAAAGAAATCATTACATCATTTCTGCTAACATGTTTCTAAAGCAATAGTAGATTTTAACACTACACAGTCAAACAGAGTATACAATATATCTGCACACAAGTGTGAAATGCACAGTTAAGCTCTCAAAAATAAGAAATGTTATTATATTATTTGTGGTTTTGAAGCACTTTGCACAAGTGGAATAAAGTTATGATTTCTGTACAATTTTTATGAAATCTATTGCCAAAAAGCTTAGTACCTGTGAGATTAATCAAATCAAGCAGTTTAGTATATATGACATTATACTGTAATCCATAAAAGTTAAATTAACATTAATACATGACACCAACTAAAGATGGTTATTTAGACAAGTTTCTTAAGAAATTTAAGTTTAATGCATTCATTAACAATTGATTTAACCATCAGTTAGTACCATCTTTAAGAAGGCAAGAAGAATCATTTCCAATTCCATTGTGACACTCTTTTTCAGGAAGTACTATAAATTCCAAAATTTTTGTGAATCGCAATAATTTACCTCTTATTTTCTGTCCATTATTAAAAAAATCACATTGATTAATAAGCAAAGATTTAGGACTTTGCAGGATTCACTTTCTTTCCAGAATTCAATAGAGTTCCATACAATAATACTGAAAGCAGTGGAAAAAAGACATAATAAGTCAGAAATATTTTTGATTTAATTTTCAAACCAAAAAGACTTTGTTATTGATACATAATAGGGATGAATTTTTCAAGGGAATGAAGAAAAACAATAAAAACATTGTCTGTATGGCTCAATATTCAAATTTGGCAATTGTATCTACAAAGACAACACTGATCACTGATTATAAAGAATTCTTTTTGATGCTCAGAGAACAAATACACATCAAACTTGTATTGTGTTGATCTGACTATAATGGAGTTTCCATAAAAACTTATTATTGATGTTTTTTCTCAAGACTCTAGAATGTAGAGTAAATATATGTACTGTTATGTCTTTATTACATACTTAAATACTATTGTGATTTTAATTTAGAATTTTCATATTACACACAAGTACATATTTAATGAATGAGCCATGTGGGAAATACAGGCTTCTTGGAGTCTTAAGTTATTACATATGTGAACTATATAAAACAAAGAGATGTGGTATGTTTGCCAATGAGACAGCTATCCAACAGCTTTCAAATGAAGTGGATTTAAGCAAGTACAGGTCACTATACAGTCTTCAACAATGAGAAAACCCATACTGTATAGTAGTCTATCAAAGGCCTGACATGATGAAATCTGAAACAATTTAAACAAAAAAACTGACAGCCTGATTTATGAAAAAAACAATAAATGAAGAACAAATGTAACAAACAGCAACCAAAGACAACCACTGAATAACAGGCTCTTGACTTGGGATAGGCACATATTCTACATATCAAATAAAATGTGCCATGTCAAAACTACAAAAGGATGCTTTTAATTAACCAATTATATTTCTTTATTAGACCAGAGCATTACCAAGTACATCCATTCAATCATCATTATGAGCAACAAGAACAACCACGGTACCAACGGCAGCCTGCTGTAGAAATCTTTCATCAGAGACAAAGCAGTGATACTCTAGAAAATACAAATTCATACAGAGACAATTTTGTACCGCGTATGCCATCCAGAAGCCATACTCCCATTGAGCGATACTTTGATGGAGAACTTAGTTATCACGAAAAACCAGTGCGATATGAACATTCATCTGGATACTATAGAGACCCCATATTTGCATACAGGGACCCAGTATATCCTTCAGTGGCAGGAAAAAGACCTGTTCAAACTATATCACAATCAGGATCAGCCAAAGTTTGACAAAATGATATATAGTAATAATGACCTTGAAATAGGTATTATATGAATGAATAGAAAACTGTTGATAACTTGGGCATCATTACACATTCATACTTCAATATCTTATCAATATTATTGACATATAACAAGGATTCTAATTCATTCATTTCAAATATTGATTTTGATTTGATAGTTCCAAAACAGATTGAGATTTTCCTGACTGCTTAAACATGTTAAAGTTCCTTTGAAATTGTATACCTTTACATTGTAGTTAACTGATGATTTTATTTTTCACTTTCAAATTAACATTGATGTAAGTGTTTCTATCAAATGACATGTATTATGCAGACCCCTTTTAATTGTGAAAACATTTAGTTACTTATTTTGAATAGTTTTTGCTCTATCAACCCAAGACCTTAACATATCTATTGCAAGGTCAAATATATATAAATAGAAAATGCAAGGTTAAATATATATAAATACGTCAAATATATATAAATAGAGAATTTTATTGCAATTCTTGCCTTCCTTTTCTGACATGTCTTCTCAGCAAAAACAAAATAATGTAAGGAATTAATTTGCCCTGCTTCCATAGCAATAGTAAGTTAGGATAGAAAATATACTTGTAATATTTGACAGTAGGGTATTTAGCATACTATCAATGTGATGATTTAAAGTGGAAAAAATTGTAATTCTGGAGTTTTATTTGAGATTTTATTGATTTTACTTTTTTAGGAGTATTTCTTCTTTATTTCAGCTTGTAATCTGTATAAAATTATCGATTTTAAATGTTAAATGATTTATAATAATAACCTTATTTTACACAAGTTATCTTTTTCATGCCAGAAACCAACTTGAATACAAAAACAAGAGTTTGAATAAATGGTTGTGATTCAACAGTTGCAAAACTGGTTGTAGCAATTTTGCCTCATATATATTGATGTGTTGTTTTATTTATTGCACTTGAAATAACTTCAGTTAGTGCTATGCAGTATTTGTTATTTTTGCTGCAAATGGTTGTAAATTTTTATTGTACACATGTGCCTTTTAAAGATCTTTTAAATTTTATATCATCTAGTCTCTTAAATAGTGTGTGACACTTTTTTCTTGTATCTAGGGTCAATGCGTCTCAGATTTGTCTTTGAATATTTGAAGGAATATTGTGAAAACTAACACTTTAATAAAGATTCACCACACTTGTATGATAATGATAGACATCAGGATTGCTAAGAAAGTTAAACAATAATTTTTACCAATTGGTCCACTAGTAAATCATTATGAGTTTTGTGCTCCTTTTTGTTGCCTGTAATGATTGTTTGTTCTATCACACGTTTGAAGGTCACTGGTTAAAAGTGAAAGAATAAAACTATTAATATGATGCTGATTTTTTTATTCATTTAAAAGTCTATAGACTTAGATGCATTTTTCCTAAATGATTGGTCATACAAACATTCCTATAAAGTGATCTCAGATTATTGCATGGACAAAAAAAAAAAAAGCAAAAAAAAAATATAAGGCCAAACAGTATAAAATGTTTATGTTATTTTATATTTCTTTAGTAACTAACCCAATAAGAAGATTATTTATTTGTTAAACTAGACAGAAAAAAAGAATTGAATATTGATTTTTATTTTATTATTTTACCTCGGATATTCCAAAAATACTTGTATAGAGGGACAGAGAGATCTTACTTCGTTATTGCACTTTATGTATATTGCACTGGACATTAATTGAAAAATATTATGTTGATGAATATATAAATAGAATCAGAAAGCAGGAGTATGTCTATAATTTGTTACAAAAATAACTTCTACCTCTATTCAAGATTTCTGGAATATAAATAGCATTTATGTAAGGAGTAAATCCAGTCACTTTATACCTTTTACAAATTTTGAATCAGTTGATAAAATAATATAGCAGAATAAAGGTAGTATGTGGGTAACTGTGCCAAAACATTATTTTTTTATGCTATTTTCAAAAACTAAAATGGATAGGTCATCGAGCTCAATTTCAAGTATCAGGTGTAAAATTCAATACTTTGTAAGCAATAACCATAGAAAAGGCATTACTTTGTTGCTAGAAAGAAAACTAAATGATAGAATTTTGAAATATAACATGAGAACATAGCTCTAAACTGTTTTCAGGTTAAAAAAAAAACAACAGAAAAAGTAATATTGTAGCTCTTGATATCTCGCTACATAACAAAATAGGAATAGGTAAATTTACTGTCAACCTCTCCTCATAAAGCAAAGTTTTAAAATGTTTTCATCAATCTAAAATATTTTTTTATTTTTAAAAAGATATTATTATTATTGTAGAATAAAAATCTAATCAAATTTCTTCATTTAAATGAAATAAAAAACATTTCTGCTTTATACAAATTTACTAATTTCAGTAAAAACCCAGACCAATCATTTGCCTCCATTTTCAGTTCAAGATGACAGAATCCTCTCATACTACCTTTAGTTAAGGAAACATCAGTTTGATTATAGGAAGGTTTTTGTATCAATAAACAGAAAGCAATCAATCATTTAGAAAGGTACATGCATGATAAATATACCTGGATTTGCTCTCATTATATTCAAGACATTCCATTTAAATTATGACCAATATTTTACTAAAGATCACAGGGTTCAATAAATATATCCAGTAATCTTTTTAAAGAGTTTTTGTATTTCCAACATATCAGTAACCTATATATACCAATAATGGAAACATGTATAATTTCATAGGCAGCTATCAATACTATATGTAAACAGAAAAACATCAAATATATCTGTGTTGTCTTGTTTTAGACATTTTATGTGTAACAACTGTGTGATAAGAGTTAAATATATGTGTGAATGTCAGCTGTTTTATGAGAGATACCTAAATATGATGGAGGAAAACATATACAAAGAATTAGTTTTATTTGAACATATGATATCTACAAATGTTAACTATTATTTTGGTTATGAATGTTTAGCCATTTCTAATAGAATTTCAGTATGTTAAGATTTCTAAAGAACCCCCCCAAAAATCACATTTTCTGTCAATGGTTATGATATAATAATAAACAAGACTGAGCATTTTTATGTAGTTAGCATGAACCTAATTACAAATGGAAACAAATTGAAATGCAAAACAAATTGTTTCAAAGGTTCAGTCTTTAATAAATGAGATTTTTTTTTAAAGATTCACACATGGTCATAACCATTTTACAGTAAGTTATCTTCTAGTAAGTTTCCATTTTAGATAATTGTAAACGAATAAAGTAATTTAAAATTGATACAGTTCAGTGTCTCCTATGTTGTAGTGCCTCAGAAATCACAACTTTCAATTACTTTACTTTAAAAAAGGTGTTTACAGAAAGTATGGTCAGTTGCCAGTAATCCTAGAAGGTTGTTCTTGCTGCCAAACTTTATGCCATATATGTATTGTATATTGTGTAATAAATGTAATTATATGTAAATAATGTGTAATATATTGCATTTGGTGTCTAGTTTAACTATATGGGAACTCCATTATTTTATCATATTCATAATGTCAAGTGAAATAAGATGTGCAAGTACTTGTTACTATGTACTTTAAACCTTTTATAAAATTAAATAGAAGGAACTTATTTTAAGAGAATTATGATGTATTTACCCATTGATATCATGGAATACCCCAATTTGTGAAAGGTTTTCAATGATAAATCTGTTGACATGTCTAACAAAATGGTTGTAATTTCATGTAGCCACTTTATTGAATTTCAGATCACCTATGAATTCACAAATTTGGTAGACTACAGAAGGAATATTATGCCTTATCACAAATCTTTTACTTCCATAATTTGATTCTGACAATAAAAAATATGAGGTTTCTGTCTGTAAAACTCATCATTTGGCCTGCATGCAGGATAACACTGAACTGCAACACAAATGAAAATTGTTGACAATGGTCAAAGGAATGGTTATATTCAGTTTGGATCTATTTCACCAATTGTTTTCTTTGTAAAAAATATTAAAAATACATGTACAAAAAGTTAACAACAAATGAAGAAAAATTTAATATAAGATTATATTTGTGATACTGAATCTGATGATAATACTCATTTTGCATTTAAATTTCTTCTTTCTTTTTTAAAGTCATCAAAAGAAAAGTAGTTGCAATAAACAGGAAAATATTACTTTTGTTGCAGTTCCTTGAAATTAAAAAAAGGTTGGTCCAATTCTGTTGTGATTAAAGATAGTTATGATGGAAAGTTTCATTATAAATGTTAAATTTGTAATCGCTTTGTATTTATCATTAATGCATATTTTATTCATTACATATTCTTTGTTGATATTGTTAATGTTGAAGCATTGTAGTATTACAAGTTGCCATACATTTCATCATTTATATACATTTTTGACCACAGTTTTATTTTCCTACATGTTACCTATTCTGTATTTCCAGAATAAAATTGTAATTCCTGATATAGTTGTTCATTAAAGTGTGTGTGACTTCAAGGTGTCAATATGGAATAGTTATCCTAAAATTAATGGTTTGTTTATATATTTGACATGCTATCTTTAAACAAAAATTACTAGGTTTAAGTATGTTATTGACATAACCAAAACAAATTTGCCAATCAGCTGGTAGAATGATGAATAGGACCATGTGAGCTATTGCCAACACTTAGCATCTGTCGTCATACTTTTACAAAAATCTTCTCTGAAACCACTAGACCAACTTCAATCAAACTTCAACTGAATGATCCTTAGGGTATCTTTTATAAATTTTGTGTTATGTTCCTGCCAATACAGTCACCTTGGCTAAAAATAGAAAATAAGAGTAAAATGCATTTATTGTCTTATATCTTGAAAACCATAATAGAGAAAATTTGACAGGGTAAAAATGCTTCAAAGTTCAATATCTACTTATTCCTAAGAGTGGCTGGGGAATAAATGTATGATCATCTTCCCATTGGCTATTAAACCCTTGCCAAAGTGGGGTGTCTGTTTGACTATGTGTGATGTATAAGTATGCAGCCAATTCCAGTCAGAATGGGGACGTGAATTCTTATGCCTACTTTTTATTTTGCCTAGTGAAGAAAGAGTGCCACGCTCTTCATGTTAAGAACCCTTGCAACAACTCTATGAGGGGTCTGTAAGTGGCCTGTTGCAAGGTAAAATTTATGTCTCCATATCCAAAATACCCTCAATTTACAGTGGCAGTCCAAATTTTCTAGAACCTTCATCCCCGACTACCTCTATTATAGGACCGCCTTATAGTATTTATTGTTAATTTGTTGTCGTCGTGAACACGCATGAAAAATTTGCCACTGGACCTTAACCAATATCAATCATCAAGAATATAGGTATACCCTTTCTTCTAAAATTGATGACTCCTAAAAGAGTAAAAGAGTTATTGTCCTTAAATGACAATTTAAAAAAAATTGAGTTTTTGTTTTTTCTAGAAAACTATAAAAGATAAGAAACTGTAAACAGCAAAAAGATCAGGATTTAATATTTTAGTCTGAGAAAACTTTATCTTTATTTTTTGTTGTTGTTGAAATGGGGCTTTGAACTAGTTTTAGAAGCTGTCAGTTTTTTGTGAGTTGTTTTTTGTGCTTAATATCTAATGAGTCAAGCCCTCTTCAGGTGATTTTAACAGTTTGTGTTTAAACTGTCATGGTGTAAAGGGGCCTGCTTAGAACTCAAACCTCTCTACGCTATGTGCCTGTCCCAAATCGGGAACCTGCAGTTTCGTTCTTGTCATTGGTTGTTATAGTATAAATCAGGCCTTTAGTCTTCATTTTTAGCTCACCAGGGCCCGAAGGGGCCCCATGTGAGCTTATGCCATCACTTGGCGTGCGTCGTCGTCTGTCGTCGTTGTAGTCGTCTGTAGTCGTCGTAAACTATTTCAAAAATCTTCTCCTCTGAAACTACTGGGCCAAATACCTTCAAACTTTAACTAAATGTTCCTTAGGGTATCTAGTTTATAAATTGTATCCAAAGTTTTGATCCATCGACAAACATGGCCTCCATGGCTAAAAATAGAACATAGGGGTCAAATGCAGTTTTTGGCTTATATCTCAAAAACTAAAGCTTTAAGAGCAAATCTGACATGGGGGTAAAATTATTCAATTGGTCAAGATCTATCAGCTCTGAAATTTTCAGACGAATCGAACAACCCATTGTTGGGTTGCTGCCACCGAATTGGTAGTTTTAACAAAATTTTGCAGTTTTTTGTTATTATTTTGAATATGATTATAGATATATATAAACTGTAAGCAGCAATAATGTTCAGCAAAGTAAGATCTACAAAAAAGTTAATATGACCATAATTGTCAATTGACCCCTTAAGGAGTTATTGCCCTTTAAAGACAATTTTACACAATTTGTTCATCAAGTTTGCTAACATTTAAAAATCTTCTCTGAAATACAGGTGAGCGATTCAGGCTCTTGAGAGCCTCTTGTTTAATTTTTATACGCCCGGTATACAAATGTCCGGCGTCCATCCGTCTGTCCGGCGTAAACATGTCGCACCGTAACTTGAGAATGACTTATCCAAATTTCATGAAACTTAACATAGTTGTTTCTTATGATGGTCAAACGATCTGTATACTTTTTGGTGAAAATAAGATTAAAACTTTTTGAGTTACGGGACTTAGTAACTAAAACAGGTGTGTGTTTTTTTTCACATGTCGCGCCGTATCTCAAAAACAATTTATGATTATTGCTTAAAACTTTACACACTTCTTAGTTATATTAATCTTAAGATCTGTATACTTGTTGGTGATGATTCAAAATTTTATTTTAGAGATATTGAGTATTTTGTTAAAAAAGGGGGAGGGGTTTTTCACATGTCGCGCCGTATCTCAAAAACAGTTTATGATTATTGCTTAAAACTTTACACACTTCTTAGTTATATTAACCATAAGATCTGTATACTTTTTGGTGATGATTCAAAATCTTATTTTTGAGTTATTGAGTATTTTGTAAAAAAAGGGGGAGGGGTTATTCACATGTCGCGCCATATCTCAAAAACGATTTATGATAATTGCTTAAAATTTTACACTTCTTAGTTATATTAATCTAAAGATCTGTATACTTTTTGCTTTTGATTCAAAATTTTATTTTTGAGATATTGATTTTTTTTTTTTAAAGGGGGGTTTTCACATGTCGCGCCGTATCTCAAAAACGATTTATGATTATTGCTTAAAATTTTACACACTTCTTAGTTATATTATTCTAAAGATCTGTATACTTTTTGGTTTTGATTCAAAATTTTATTTTAGAAATATTGAGTTTTTAGTAAAAAAAAAAAAGGGGGGTTTTCGCTTGTCACGCCGTATGTCAGAAACTATTTATGCTTATTGCATAAAAATTCACACACAAGACGACGGGCGTATCATGCGCTCATGGCGCAGCTGTTTATTTCACATGTTGTCATCCCTGGGCCTTTTATAGCTGCCTATACATGCATCTTGCTCATTGTTGGCTCTATGGGGAAAATCATCTCTAGTGGTTCAACATGCAAATGAATTTTACTTGATAGTTGTTTTAGTTTCGAGTTGGACTGAGGAAAGCCATCCCCCTTCACCAAAAGAAGCTTCTGGATTTTGATCACTGAAGTGAAGTGGGTAATAAAATTCTGTTTAAAAAAGACTTAATATTGATGAATTTTAACTGTCCAGTTTATGATTGTAATAAGAAGAGGGTCTGTGTGTACTTTTTCTATATAAAACTTTAGGCCATTCTTCTAGTTTCTTTTTAATGGTTTATTTTATGGCTCATTGTTGTCTTTTTTCATATTTTAGCACCCCTTTATTCTTTTTTTCTTCTTTTTTGTCCAGGTTTCTCTATATTTATCATTATTCTCTATTCTTAGCCTTTATCCTCACATTTCTCTTTTCTTTTCTTTTTTTGTTTATTATTCTCTTTTCTGTAAATACCATCCAGACCCTCGTAAGATTTCTACATCAAATCTTCAAATAATATATGTATGTTTGAAAGAATTTAGTAACGGTCAAATTAATTTGTGGTAATGAAAGACCCTATTGAAACATCACTAGTTGTGTAAAATGGATTGCTCAATCCTAAAACAAAATATTCAAATCCATAGCAACCCCCCACCCCCTAGCAGATACCTCCTGGAATGATGTAACAATAATATGAACATAAACCAATCTTCATCAGGAAAAAATTTTGGTCTATTTGTTTATCTCAAATCTGTGTGGTAATCTAAATGATTTTATTTTTGTATGTGGTTATGTATATGCCACAGTCATAGTGTAACAACTACGGTGTGTCTTGGCTTACTTGTGTGTTTTTGTACAACAGTTTGCAAGTAAACTTATTTTGAGGATAATAAAATTTAGAATGGAAATGGGGAAAATTTGCAAAAATGTAAACATTACAAGGTAAAGCGTGTAACTGCATTTAAAAAAAAATCATATTTGTTTTAAGATTACACAATGTAGTCATAATAATTATCATGAAATAAGTTTTTATTTAAGGATGTCTGGGTGGGGAAGAGGGATCTTCATTTCTGTATTCTTTAAGTTTGAGGCTATTTTTCTCTGTTCTTTATTTTTTCCCCATTATTCTCTTTTTTTATATTTTAGCACCCCTTTGGTCTTTGTTTCTTTGTTTGTCCATTTTTCGCTATTTTTTTCGTCACATTTTTCTCAGGAACTACAATACAAGGATTTCTGAAATTTGGTTTCAGGGTTTATATGAGTCATCTATACCGTGTGATGCGTTTTCATATTCATCACTCAACAACTTCCTGTTTACCGAAATATTTGGGCGGGGTATCATCAGTGAGCAGTAGTTCGCAGTTTCACTTGTATTAGATATTTCCTGTGCAATAGATCTATTTCATCTCACATGTAAGCTTTGTAATTTACCTTTTAACAACAAATTATCATATGATCGTACTTTATTTGGCCTTTTTAACTTTTTTTATCCGAGCGTCACTGATGCATGAGTCTTGTGTAAGCGTACATGATGAAGTTTTTTTTTAAAGATGTTACATAAGTACACTAGACAACACTTTATGATCTTTCCTGTATTTTTTTCTGTTTGCTTTAAATTTGATTCTGAACAAAAATGCCAAGATAGTAGTTGGCAAAAATTGAAATTAGATGATATAAATGTATGACAAAATTAGTGAGATTATTCAGTTTACTCAGCTGTTGTACAGCCTTTCTACATATGTATTCTTGATATGGTTATTGGAACATGTTGACCTATAATGGTTTACTTTTACAAATTGTGACTTGGATGGAGAGTTGTCTCATTGGCACTCATACCACATCTTCTTATATCTATGTTATCAATATCTACACCTAAATGTTTAACGGTTTCATCACAAGAGATGTTTGCACTACTAATAGTAAAAACAGATGCTTTCTCAGCGGACTTTTCCCCCCAAATGTCACCTACCACCGAGTTTGTACTTACATGAGCAACATGACGGGTGCCAC